ACCTAACAGATGCTGAGTTCAAAATACTGCTTATAAGGATGCTCAATGAACTCAGTGAGGGCCTCAAGAGCATTAAAAAGGACCAGCCAGAAATGATGGATGCACAGTTAGAAACGAAGGAGGCTTTAACTGAAATAAAGAATAATTTACACAGCTTCAATAATAGAGTACGTAAATCCAAGAAGCAAACCATCAATTTGGAATATAAGGAAGCAAAAAACGCCCAATCAGAACAGCAAAAAGAAAAAAGAATCCAAAAAAATGAGGAGAGTGTAAAGAGCCCCTGGGACAACCTCAAGCATGCCAACATTCGCATCTTGGGGGTGCCGGAAGGAGAAGAGAGAGAACAAGAAATCGAAAACCTGTTTGAAACAATAATGGCAGAAAACTTTCCTAACTTGGTGAAGGAAACAAACATACAAGTCCAGGAAGCACAGAGAGTCCCAAACAAGATGAACCCCAAGAGGCCCACACCAAGACACATCATCATCAAAATGCAAAAGGTTCAAGACAAAGAGAGAATCTTAAAAGCAGCAAGAGAAAGGCAGCTAGTTACCTACAAGGGAGTTCCCATAAGGCTGTCAGCTAATTTCTCAAAAGAAACTTTGCAGGCCAGAAGGGAGTGGCAAGAAATATTCAGAGTGATGAAAAGCAAGACCCTACAACCAGGATTACTCTATCCTGCAAAGCTGTCATTTAGAATCGATGGCCATATAAAGACTTTCCCAGACAAGAAAAAGCTAAAGGAGTTCATCACCACCAAACTGTTATTATATGAAATGATGAAGGGTCTTTTTGAAGAAAAAGATAAAATATATGAACAAACAAAACGGCAATGAATACGTATCTATCAACAATGGAATCTACAAACAAAATGAACAGATAGAACAGAAACATTCTCATAGATACAGAGAACATTTTGTTGGTTGCCAGATGGGAGGGGGTTTGGGGGAATGGGTGAAAAAGGTGAAGGGATTAAGAAGTAGAAATTGGTTGCTAAACTGACAAACCTCAAAGGGAAAGGGGCTGGGGGTGGTGGGAAGAAATAAACCAAAGAACTTATATGCATAACCAATGGACACAGACAATAGTGTGGGAAAAGGCGGGAGGGAGGCAGGAGAGGGGAGGAGGGAGTCAATGGGGGAAAAAATGTGGAACATCTGTAATACATTCTACATTCAACAATAAAGATTTAAAACAAAAAAAGAAAGAAATTAGATCTTTGGACCCACAGTTAGATGTTCTTTCCACAATAAGACCAAGAGCCTATAGGACGCAAAATAATTACCCATCGTTTTTTTTTAATTTTCTTAAAATCAAAGTTACTAATGCACACAGTTTAAAGAGTCAAATAAAGATAGTTTTACTAGGCTTGTATAAGGAAACACAGCTCCTTTTTCATGCCGTCCCATCTGCCCCTCACGGCAGACAACCACTTTCAACTCTTAGGTGATTCTTTGGGTACTGAAGGAAACCAGAATGTCACCCAAAATATGCCTTTTTTGACATAATTATTTTTCACTGAAGGCAATTAAGAAGCAGCAAATGCAGCCCAGGAGGTGTGACTCAGTGGACTGACTGTTGTCCCATGGACTGGTTGGATTCCCAGTCAGGGCGCATGCTGGGGTTTCCAGGCTCAATCCCCAGTAGGGGGCGTGCAGGAGGCAGTTGATCAATGTATCGCTCTCACATCAATGTTTCTGTCTCTCCCTTCCTCTCTCTCTAAAAAAATCAATAAAAACATATTTTAAAAAGTATGAAAGCAGCAGCAAATGCAGGAAAGGCTTTCCCTACCCCTCTCTCTTTTCTGTCTGAAGGATATAAATTATCTTTTTCTTGAGATAGATTCTTATCCTCCCAGAGATGCACTAGAGCAGTGGTTCTCAACCTTCCTAATGCCACGACCCTTTAATACAGTTCCTCATGTAGTGTGACCCCCAACCATAAAATTATTTTTGTTGCTACTTCATAACTGTAATTCTGCTACTGTTATGAATCGTAATGTCAATATCTGATATGCAGGATGTATTTTGTTACAAATTGAACAGAATTAAAGCATAGTGATTAATCACAAAACAATATGTAATTATATATTGTGAAATATTTATTTCTAATTACAAATAAATGAAATCTTGTCTCGAAGCACGGTGTAGCATGGGTAACAGTCTTAACATAACAACAGTAAAGTACATTGCTATGTTTTGCGACAGTTTGCGTAAAAAGCCAACGTCAGTACGAAGGTTGAGATTGCTTCTTTCTCACCAGATCAGAAATTCTTGGGGCAGTCTTTGCAAGAGCACAACGAAGATCATCTTCCACAGCAAGTCTACTTCTGTACTTAGACTTGACAACCAACAAGCTGGAAAACCCTGTTTCACAAAGATATGTTGTTGGAAATGGAAGAAGAAGGGGCAACACAGTCTCAGACAGAACAGAATATGACTGCAAACACTTGCATTGTAGAGAAATCAGTTCCCGCTGCATCACTGTTAATAAATTCAATGAACTCCTCTTGTGCTGTCTCAGGAACATCTTCAACTTTGACTGTGAATGGGCTTCTGGCAAGTGCAAATGGGGTGTCAGGTAGATTTGGGAAGTATGATGAAATTTCATCTGCAAGCATGTGCAAGTGTTCTTTCACAGAAATTATCATCGCAATCCTTTTGTCTGGTTCAACGTCATGTTCCTCAAAGAAAGCAGATAAAGTAGGCAACATGTACATTTTATTTTCATCCAACTTTTTTTTTTTTTTGCCAAAGCTGAAGTTTCAGTTGGAATGATTGGATCTTTTCAGACAAATTGAGGCATGTTGCATTTGGTCCTTACAGTGATAAATTTAACTCATTCAAGATGGCAAAGATGTCAACCAAGTAAGCTTTTCTGCAGTTCACTTTTATCGCTGAAAACTGTGGTCTTGCTTTCTGATTAAAAAATGTTTTGAGTTCACGAAGCTCAAAAACACACTTTAAAACTTTTCCTGTTGACAACCATCTCACTTCAGTGTGAAATAGCAGAGCATTGTTCGGCACATCCAACTCGTTGCACAGTTGTGAAAACAGTCGACTGTTTAAAGTGCTCGCCTTCACAAAATTGACAGAACTTATGACATTTTTTATTACTTCTTGTAATTCTTTTTTTTTTTTTTTTTTAAAGATTAGAGAACATCCTTATTTATTAATGAAAATTAGGAGATTTTGCTGGCCAACAAAATGAACTCTCTTAACTTTTTTTTTGGTGGTATTTTGTTCAGATAGATTGGGAGAGAGAGAGAAACATCGACATGAAAGGGACACGTCAAGTGGCTGCCACCCACATGACCCAACCAGGGCCAGGGACAAACTGCAACCAAGGTACATGCCCTTAGCGGGAACTGAACCCAGGTCTCCCCGGACTGCAGGCCGACGCTCTAACCACTGAGCCAAACTGGCCAGGGCACTTCTTGTAATTCTTGTGGCATCATCTTCATTGCTAATATTTGCTAATGAATCATACAGTGAGTTCTGACGACTTTTGGTGACTCATTCAGTACTAAATGTTAAACTCCAGACTGACATCCTAGCATAGCTGGAGCACCATCTGTGCAAACACCACAAACCTTTTCCCAAGAGATCTTACACTCTTTCAGAAATGAACCAACTGTGTCAAATACATCACGTGCAGTAGTTGCTGTTTCAAGAGGTTTGCAAAAAAAAACCAAAAAAAACTCATCTTTAAAATCACCATCATTAATATACCTCACATAAACCAGTAACTGTGAACAGTTTGCAATGTCTGTAGATTTATCAAGCTAGATGCTAAATATTGGAAGTAGAGCAGATTTAATTTCCTGGATTACCTGATCAAGAATATCAGCAGATATGTCATCTATTCTTCTCTAGACAGTATCATTATATAAGGAAATTGCACTCAATTTTGTAACAAATTAGTCTCTGATCATCATAACTCAAACAATGTCTTTGGCCGCTGGCAACAGTAAATCCTCAGCAATGGTGTGAGGTTTCATAGCTCTGGTGATTCTGAGTGCCACCAAATACAAAGCTTTAATGGCTGCTACAATTTGTCTGTGGTACTTGCCACCAGTGTCAAGTCTGGCTTTCTTGAGTCCGTCAGCTTTGCTTCTAAAATACGTAGTTAGTATCCTTGCCAGCAAAGCTCAGATGCTTGCTATCAAAATGGTATTTTAGTTTGTTTGGCTTCATAGATTCAGCTGATAGAACTTCACAACAAATAACACATTACAGTTTCTCAATTCCTGTGGTAATTCTTGAGGTAAAACCATACTGTAAAAAATCCTCACTATATTTTCTTTTCTTAATGTTCTTCTCTACACAATCCATTGTCATGGGATGGTTTGCTAATGAAAATAATATATAACAATAGCTTTAATAATACAAAAGATGATACATGGCATAGTTTAGTCAATATAGTTCATTAAATTTTCCTATGATTTACCATTCTCTGCATCGTTTTTTTTTGTTTTTTTACATACCTGTTATTATCACAAGGGGGCAGTATTCACATCAACCACAGCTGAATATAAAAAGACCAATCAGCATCCAGATTAAGTTCCCATGGTACATATATATTTTTTTGCAGCAGTTGATGATTTTACAGTACATGATTTTGCATTTACCCAGTAATTATAATTCATGAAGTGTTGTTTTACCTCCAATACTGCTGCTTTCAACACAGTAGCTGCTTTTAACAGAGTAGCTGCTTTCTACACAGTAGCTGCTCTCTACACATGTGTGACTGGTCCACATAAGTACATTATGGCACCAACCCTGTCACATACACCTGAATTTGTACGGGGTGTATGTGATGGGGTTGACGCGATGATGTCATTGTGCCGGGTACTGGTATGTGGGTGTATCTGCATGTGAGTGTATCTGCATGTGGACGGACCCACCTTGAGAAGGATAGAGGAGCGGTGTCTCGGTTCCTAAGACCATCGGAAATATGTGTTTTCCTATGGTCTTAGGCGATCCCTGTGAAAGGGTCGTTTGACCCCCAAAGGGGTTGTGACCCACAGGTTGAGAACCGCTGCACTAGAGGAATCTGCAAATGAACCTACTCCATTTGTTCCTTCCCATACGTTTACCTTCTAACAGGTTACCTTTTTTGGAAACCTAAAACTGATTTGCTTTGTCCTATTATCTCTCTACAAGTTTGTTCTTTGTTGATTTTTTTTTTTTAAAAAGATTAAAGAAAAAAAAATGTAAGCCAGAGTACTAAACTGCTGCTTTGAGTTACTTTTCATTGCAGTTCCTCCCACATGATGTGTGCTGCATGTATTGATCAACTTTTTTTCTCTTGTTAATTGGTCTAGCTGAAAACCTACGATGGGTCAAGTTCAGCCTCCCCTACAGTATTTGCTCCCACCCTTGGCATTGTTTGCATTTGTACAATGAGTATGCATTGCTTTGTTGTTCTTATGTGCTATGTAGTTAAACTGGATTGCCAGGGCCTGGGCCTTCAGGGTGCCACAGTGGTCACTGGGCACAGGCCACCAACTCCTCCAGGGCTTGCTCGTGGCGGTTACCATGGACCAGCAGCACCTCCTTGATTCTGTCCTGCTGGAAGCCCATGTCGCTGAACTGTTCCCAGAGGCGCAGGAACTCCCCTGCCTGTGGAAGGGGAAGCAGAAAGGGCACCGAGGCTTGGCTTCCACCCTGGCGAACCTCCTCCCTGGGGTCCTCTGTGTCTACTCCCAGAAAGCTGTGGCCTCCACAGGTCAGGTAAACCTGATCCTGGGCAACACCTGCATCTCCTCTGTATCTCTGAGGTGACATGGGCTTGGACCTCTCTTCCTGTGCCAAGGAAGGAGGCCCCAGCCTGGCCATTGGCTTGGTCCTGGCTTTACTCCCCGACTCGGGCTCACACCTGACTGCCTGTGCTCAGGGGCTGAGCAGGAAGAGCAGAGTCCAACACTGGTGCCCAGAGGGTGCATAGCCCAGGATCTCTGCCCACGCCCCAAACGGCCAAGGCTTCACATGTGCAGCCTCTGTCTTCCTGTCTCTGGCCCAGTGCTTTAAACTTTCCTGCTTCTCCTCCCTTCCCCTCCTCTATGTTTCTCCCACCTTTCTGTCCCTCCCTCGGCCTCTGTGAAGAGATACTCCCAAGCCTGGACCAGCTGCTGAGTGTGACCAGGTCATATTCACTGGGCACTCAGAATATATCACTGAGCCCAGAGCTACCTATATTCTGGATTCCAGGTAGGTGGCAAACTGCTCGAGCAGAGAGTTCAAGCATCTTTGTGCTGCCTGTGGCTCCCACCTGGTGTCTGACGAAGAGTGGGTCTTCAGCCACACGTGTGCTGGTTCAGTTAAATACTACAAAAGCCTTGCCTCTGGTTTCCCTCCCCACCTCGGCCCCTCACAGGCTATGCTCCGCCCCCTGGGCTGTCTCCTTCCCCCAGGGCTGAGCTAGCAGGCTCTCTCTTTACAGCACCCAGGCTGGCTCTGGCACCATGCCCCCAGCACACCAGGCTCGTGTGAACACCCCCACCCCCTCCCTGCCTTGGAGCCCAGCAGGTGGCCTGGCTGACCTGGCTCTCAGAGAACTGGAACATCTCCATGGCCTCCTCCACCAGACCCTCCTCGTAGCCCTGCCGCAGCAGCCGGTCACAGGCACTCAGGTAGCTGAGAAACTAGGCCAGAAAGGTGCAAAGAGGGAGGGACGATAAGAGGAGTGGCAGGGACAGTGGATGGGCACCCCAGGACCTAATTAAGACCTGAGCTGACTCAGCAACCCACCACACACGACATGGCCCCAGAAACCCCAGGGGCCAATAGAAGAGGATCAGGGGCCTCCTCTAGAGAGCTGGGGACAGGTGGAGAGCAAGTCTTCACCAACCAACCCCAAATGGGGGCTGGAATCCAGGAAAGGGGCTGTCAGGGTGAGCTGAGGTGTTCCCAGAACCTAAGCAGAGAGGGGGACAGGCCTGCGACACAGGGCCTTACCCAACCCAGCCTGCTCACCCTCCCTGGTGAGCACATACCTGTGTGAGGGTGCCCCCACACCTGTGTACCCACCCTGCCCAAACTCCACATCTCTGCCACCAGGACTTCACGAGCCCCGGCTACACAAAGGGCCTGCATCAGTGCTGGAAAGGGGAGGGGACAGAGAGGACCTCACAGAGCTGGAAACCTGTTCACTCTCTTCCTGCTTAGTCATCAGGGCTGCTTTTGCCCTCAGGATGAATGCTGCCTCCCAACCAGGGCTCAACGGCCTGGGCCTGTCTGTCAGTGGCCTCAGCTCCCCGCCAGCCCTCCTGGGTCTCTGTATATCTAGCCCCTCACCAAGGCCAGCATTCACTCCTCCTACCTGGGGACCCTCTCTGCCCCGTTTCCAAGGTGCCACACGTGGTGCCCCCACAGCACGTGCAGCTTTGTAACTGCTCCACTGTCTTTCTCCTCTTTCCCATCCACTGACTTCTTGCTCCACAAGGGAAGGGTGGGCCAGTCTTATTCCCCACTATGTCCCAGCACCCAGCATGGCAGGCAGAAGGAGCTCAATAAATACATGCTGTGTGTATAGTGAATTAGAACTACCTTGAAGGAGCTCACAGCTTAGTGAGGGAGATAAACCAGATACAGGAAATCATGAAGGCCAGGCAAACCAAAGTAGGATTAATAGGGAGCCGGTGCCAAATGAAGGCGGCAGACCATAAGACTTATGGGTATAAGTGGAGAAGAAACAGGCTGGCTTTCTGCGGACCTTCAGAGCTGGGCAGAAAGCACAGATAATAGAGGCTGATGGCTTTATCTTCTGAACCGTCCAAGCACTTGCCCCAGGACACCTACACCTGAGCACATATGGAAAACCACCCACCCAAGCCCTCCTTGCACACTTGAGGAAACAGATCCAAGCAACACAGGCCGCTTAGAGTCCCAGGGCTAGGTCTAGATCCCCTGACCTCTCGCTAATGCCTTTTCCATCACAGGGACAGCTGCCGGGGAGGGGCTTGAGCTAGCTGGAAAGCAGACAGGGTTTCTGAAGGCGGAAACAGGCCGGGGGCAAGGGCAGGTCGGGATTCTCCCTTCACCTCTTAGCTCATCCCCGGCAATGGTTCTTGGCCTTGGTGCTGATTGCAGCTTCCTGGGAGCTTCAAAACGACCCATAAGCCACTGATGCTTGCCTCCAGAGTCTCTGATATAATGTGTCAGGGCTGCCGCATGGGCACTGGGATTGTTAGTAGTGGAGCTTCACAGAATAGAGGGAAATATTAACGTGGTGGGGGAGGACAGATGAAGTCATCCAATGGCGCTTCAGGCCCACCCCTCAGGGCCTAGCCTCTGACTGCCCACCAGGGAAGAAGGCCACCCAGAGATCTGACGGGCTACACAGTTGGTCATTCTGTGTCTTGAAACAGTGTCCCTGACACAGTGAGATTCTTCCAGCCCACCCACCAGGAGGCCAGTGCCTCTGCTAGCTCCAACTAATCTTCAGATCTTCACAGTGATGGCCTGAGACCTCAGTCTTGTCACAGGTCCTAGAGACCGGGGGGTGGCGGTGGGGGCCCTTCTGTGGGCCTGGTCCCTCACAATCCTCTGACTAGCTTCTTGGCCACAGTCATGGCTTTCAGTGGTATCTGAAGGTGGAAGCAACTTTAGATCTATTCTTTTTTTTTTTAATCCTCATCCAAGGATATTTTTCCATTTATCTTCAGATAGAGTATGAGGGAGAAAGAGAAAGAAACATCGATGTGAGAAAAAGACACTTTGATTGGTTGCCTCCCACACGACCCTGACCAGGGCCAGGGACCAAACCGCAAATGAGGTATGTGCCCTTGACCAGAATCGAACCCACGACTCTTTGGTCTATGGGCCAATGCTCTAACTACTGAGACAAACCAGCCTGGGGTGCTGCCCTGGAAGATTCTCATACCAAAAATGAGATAAAAGCACTGTGCAACAAAGATTCAGAGTTAATGCTCTGGCCGGTTTGGCTCAGCAGTTAGAGCGTCGGCCTGCGGTCCGGAGAGACCCGGGTTCAGTTCCCGCTAGGGGCACGTACCTCGGTTGCAGTGTGTCCCCGGCACTGGTTGGGTCGTGTGGGTGGCAGCCACTCAATGTGTCCCTTTCACATTGATGTTTCTCTCCCTCTCTCTTTCTCTCTCTCTCCCCCTCCCTCCCACTCTATCTGAACAAAATATCAAAAAATGTCCTCGGGTGAGGGAAAAAAAAAAAAGATTCAGAGTTAAACCAGCCTCAATTTCCTCATCTGCAAAGTGGGGACAGTAATAGCAAACTTGCAGAATTGAGAAGACCTAAGTGTATACTCTCAGGTTGAGGGACTGGCACAAAGATGTTTACTAAATATTAACACTACTAACAACCGATTGATGAAGGGATATAAAGGTCCGACCATCTCAGACCCACTTAGGATGACTCTGAAGGGCCATATATGCTCCACAGCTGTGGGATTGGCTGATGCTGTTGTTGGATCTAAAAAGCTCAACTTTTCCATCTACCCACTCCTGCCTCTGTCCACTCCCTTCTCCAGGAATTGTTCCCAGGAGCCTTCTTAATAACTCGATCTGAGTCTGCTTCTTGGGGAAGCAATGGTTTTTATGTATCCTGGTCACCCCCACACTTCCTAGCTGCATCTAAAGACCCAGGAAATGCCCAATCAATACTGTTGACTAGAAGAATGGATGGGTGGGTGGAAAGAGAGATGGGTATGGGTGAACCATTCACTGAGGGAAGTGGTTAGAGCTGCACCAATATGGTATCCAGTAGTCGCATGTGTCTATTTTATTTTATTTTTTTTTATTGTTTTTTTCATTGATTTTTTAGAAAGAGAGGGAGAGAGAGATAGAAAAATCTGTATGAGAGAAACATCTGTCAGCTGCCTCCTGCACGCCCCCTACTGGGGATCGAGCCCACAACCCTGACTGGTAATTAAACCAGGACCTCTCAGTCCATGGGACAACGTTCAATCCACTGAGCCACACTCGCCAGCACATGAGATTATTTTAATTAATCACAATTAAATAAAATTCTCAACCCTGGCCGGTATGGCCCAGCATTAAGAGTGTCATCCGTGGCCCTGGCTGGTTTGGCTCAGCAGTTAGAGCGTCAGCCTGCGGACCAGACAGTCCCAGGTTCGGTTTCCACTAAGGGCACATACCTTAGTTGCAGTTTGTCCCCGGCTCTAGTTGGGGTCGTGTGGGTGGCAGCCACTCGATGTGTCTCTCTCACATCGATGTTTCTCTCTCTCTCTTCCTCCCTCTTTCCCTCCTGCTCTATCTGAAGATAAATGCAAAAATGCCCTCATGTGAGGATAAAAAAAAAAAAAAGAGTATTGTCTGTGGACTAAAGAGTCCTGGGTTCAATTCCAGCACGTACCTCAGTTGCGGTTCATCCCCGGCCCTGGTTGGGGTTGTGGCAACCAATCAATGTGTCTCTCTCACATCGACGTTTCGCTTTCTCTCTCTCTCTCTTTCTTCTTCCCTCTCTCCCTCCAGCTCTAGCTGAAGATTAATGTAAGAATATCCTTGGGTGAGGATTAAAAAAAAATTCTCAGTCACACTAGCCACATTTCAAGTAACCACGTATGGCGAGTGGATACTGTATTGGACAACAGGTATAAAACATCTCTCTCATTACAGAAAGTTCTACTGGGCAGCTCTAGAGAGTTTCTTGGCTGCCCAGAGCTCTAGCCCCTGCAGTTGGGTCAGAGAGCAGGAGAGGAGTAGAATATCAAGACTCCCCAGGTGGCATGGGATTCCTGATGAACTCCTATAAAGAAGGCAGCATTACGATCTAAAAAATTGCTCATAACCCCCAATAATTAATGCCAGGCTGAGATTCTGTCTCTAAAGAGAAGGAAACAAAACTTCTTCAAGTTAAAGATAAAACCACGTGGTCACCTATCCCAGACCTCAGACCCCACTCAGGACACTCACTCACCTGGCTCAGGCTTTGACGCCCTGTCTTCTGCAGAGCCACAATGGCCCTATGCAGGGGATACCCCAGGGCAACCACCGGCCCGATGAGGTCTTGCTCCTCCTGGCTCAGGGCAGACAGCAGGTCAGCAGAATCAGGGTGTGCTCTGTGGGCGATGAGAGGCTGGGGCTCCTGCCCAAGAGGTGGCAGGCAGGTGTATGGGCTGAGGGACTGAAATAAAGACAAGCTGGATGTGTCATTTACCACTGGAAGCAACATCTGGCAGGGAAAGATGTTTTTAAAGGTGCCTTTGCATGTCACCTTCTCTACAGAGTGTAGGGGCTAATGCTGTGGAAAGCCTGGAGTCCTGCTCTGGTTCAAACCCCAGATCTTTGCTGTTTACTCGATTTACTCATGTGTAAAAACAGAGGTAATCATACTGGATACCTCAAGGGTTGTTACAAGGCTTAAATAAGACAATGTGAGAAAAGTATTTAGCAAAGGACCTGGCACATAGAAACTGCCAGTACACGATATTATTTCATTTATAGCTTAGAACAACCTTGCAAGAGAAATAGAATACATCCATCCTATTATACCGTTTTACAGATATTGAAATCAAGGTTCAGAGAAGTCAATGACCTCAAGCAACACATATTTGGGACCTGAACCATACTCAATCAAATCCAGGGTACTTTTTTGGTTGTTGTTAATCCTCATCCAAGGATATTTTTCCATTGATTTTTAGATAGAGTGGAAGGGATGGGCGGGTAATGGGGAAACACATAGATTGGTTGTCTTCAGCATGACCCCAAGCATGAAGATTGAACCTGCAACCCAGGTATGTGCCCTTGACCGGGAATCAGCACCTATCTGCCATCCCTGAATACATCGCCTTGTCCCTTCCTCCCAAGGAAAGCTTAACTGCAGTCCTGGCTCCTGGGGTAGGGGGTGTGTGTGAGACACACGAGTTCCCCACCCATCCCTATCTGCTCAGGGATTTCTCTGTCATGACCTCACCCTTGGATTTGCCCTTTACCCCCAGAGTGGAAAACACCTAAATCTTAGGATCTGATTCTACTCTTGTAACCTTGAAAAAAATTCTTAGCCACTGTTTGCCTCAATTTCCTTCTCTACAGAACAACTGCCCCAACTCCCACCCCAACACACACACACACACACACACACACACACACACACACACAGGATTGTTGCTAGAGTTAAATTTAAGCTGAATCAGGGAAGAGCCACCCTGGCATCAACATCTGATCCTTGATGTGGGCATGGCCTGTCCAGTTTACAGAGCCTCTTCTCAATGTTTGCTCCAAACAGCTGTGGGAAGGGTTGCCGGCCCTCTTTACAAGGTAGAGAAGGGATGGCTCAGAGCACTTCAGCGACTTGTGGAAGGTCACACACCAGTGAGTGGGAAAGCCAGACCTGGAATCTCTTTTGGACTTAATTTCATATTGGCCTGATTGTTTTGCAGCTACTAGCTCGATGTGGGGCTGCTGTGGGGCAGAAAGCGGTGCCCTGTTGCTGTCCCCTGCTACTGATCCTGACCCGCCCCATCGGCTCCGGATCCAGGTTGTGTGGAATTTGATGCTTATATAATATGGACCTCTTAAAGAAAAAAGGCAGACACAATTAATTATAAATATAAAATTAGGCACACAGCTTTGGAAGGAGCAAAGTCGGGGGCCTGAGACTTAAGCTTCATTGGTTTCATGGTAAGTTCACTTCTGCTCCCCATTCTTCTAGGTACAGTCCTCTGTCCTGAAGCCTTCTCAGCCTGTAACAACCCTCACCTCTCTATCTCTCCACACCTGATCCTGCCCCTATACAGTGCTGCCTTGTCCCGATAGAGCCTTGGGCAACTCTCCATGTGCAGTGATTTTGACCTTGTCTCTTCCAACCCAGTGTCTGGCAGGAATGAACAGACAGAGACTATTCTTTGATTGAGCCTGCAGCTCACCCAGTCTACAGCAAGCCTTGCCCTCTGGCAAGCCCTAGATTTGAGACACATTCATTAATTGAACAGACATTCATTGAGCACCCCCTATGGGCCAAGTCTGCTGCTGCGTGCTGGGGGGGAGGGAGGGGGACGGGACCCGAATGCCATTCGAACCCTGCCCTAAAAGAACTCTATTCCACTGAAAGAGAGACAGACGTACTGGATAGCTACAATTACAGGGCGTGTCTCTACCAGAGGCAAGGCAAGCACAACTGCAAACAGCGGGAACGGGGGCCCTCTGAGGAGGAAACATTCCGGGCAAAGGGTCGCAGGGAGAACAGCACGGTGAGGGCAGGAGGTGAGGGTAGGGAGAGAGGCGCAGAGAGGAGGAGGCAGAGGCTGGGGACCTCACTGCTGATCTGTGGCCTTGGTGGAGCCCTCAAGTTCCTCACCGAGATCGTGGGCTTGTGGTTCCGCAGCGGGGGCGTGGCACCAGCCGTGGAGGGCCGAGGGGGCGGCGCGGGTGCCTTGGGGGGCGGGGGCGCCGGGCCCCGGGGCTCGGAGCTGTGGCAGAGGCTCAGCGCCCGGTGGCGGATGCGCTGCAGGAGGGCGCGGGGGCGCGCGGCCACCCTGCCCTCCGAGAGCCTTTGCCGCGCACCCGCCAGCTCCGACCTCACCCCCCGCAGCACGTCCAGCGAGCTCCGGCGATGGCCCGGGCTGGGGCTCGCAGGAGCGCTGGGCTGGGGGCTGCAAGGACCTGGCTTTTCCTCGCTGGCAAGGGTGGCTTCTTCCTCCTCTTCCTGCTCCCCCACTTCCTCCTCCTCTGGATGCTCCTGGGGCCCAGCCTCAGGGCCTTCGGCTGCGGCTGGCGCAGGCACCTGCCCGCATTCCGGGCTCACCAGCAAGAGCCAGGCTGGAGGGGCTGACACTGTTCCGGGGGCATCGCACTGGAACTGGCAGGGTCCCCGGATGACAGCCTCCACCCAGAAGAGGGTCCTCCTCTCCAGGCTGAAGTCATGCTGCTGAGAGAAGGCTCTGTAAGGCTCGGCCAGGCAAACCAGGGCTCGAGGGCACAGCCTAGCCCTGGTCTCCGGGGCCCTGTTCAGCCAAAGACCTGCACAGCTTCCCATCCGAGCCCCAGGCAGTCATCACAGCCCACCCCCACCCTCCGTTTTAGCCAGCACTGGGTACAAGGATATCAATAACAATTTAAAGGTAAATTCTGCGCGAAACACAAAATGAAGAACAGGTTAATAGGATGAAATGTAGTGAAATCTAAGCCCCTTCGTCATTTAGTATATAACTGAACAGTAGCGGCTTAAAAACTTTCTCCAATAAAACTTGTTCTCAGCAAAGGCACTTTCAGTTGAGCCCAGCACCGTCTGCCAGCAAGCAGTCAGCCTTGGAGGCCGCCCAGGCGTGTAAACCTCCCTGTGGAGTAATACCTGCCCGGTGCTCCTGGCTGCCATCTGAGGTTACTTTGGGACTGAGGCAATGTGAAATTCGCTAATCTTTGTTGAACCCTACTTAGTTGGTTTTAGTGTTATCCCTGTTGCCAGATTATGAAAATGAGGCTCAGAAAATGTAATTTGCTGGAGGTCAGATTGGAGGTGAGTGGCGGAGCTGAGATTTCTCTCTCTATCTGGCTTTATCCACTACATATCAGGACACCTAAAAAAGCAGTTTGGAGCCCATATAAATAATCCAATGAATTTATAAGTGAGGCAAAAATAAAATATTCCTGTTGCCTACCTTTATTTTTTATTTTATTTTATTTTTTTATCCTCACCCGAGGATATTTTTCCATTTTTTGTACAGATACAGTGGGAGGGAGAGAGAGGAAGGGAGAGAGAGAGAGAAACATCGACATGAAGGGACACATCGAGTGGCTGCCACCCGCACGACCAACCAGGGCCGGGGACAAACTGCAACCGAAGCACGTGCCCTTAGCGGAACCGAACCCGGGTCTCTCCGGACCGCAGGCCGACGCTCTAACCGCTGAGCCAAACTGGCCAGGGCCTGTTGCCTACCTTTAAAATGAAGAACCGGGAATATAAAATGCCACGAAAAATATAAAAAAATTTAAAACGCAATTTCAATGCTCTACGATGACCAATTAAGGAAGAGAGAGGTTGGGGGAAGTGTTGTGTGTGAGGGAAAGGGGAGCGAGAGACAGACACAGGCACAGACCACAGCCACTGCCCCTCCCACCTCTGACATGACCCTGTGTTGGGGAGAGGAGCATAATTTCGCTGGTCCAGTGTGACTCCCTGCCTGAGGTCAAGGACTGTGTCTTATTCCTCTCTGTATCCTCAGGGCCCAGGGCAGGCCTGGCACAGAGCGGACATTTCTAAGTGTGTGCAGAACACATGGTTAGAGAAAGAGACTGGAGCAAAACAGATGAGTTGTGAAAAACAGAAGAGGAAAATGACAACTTCAGAACTGATGAGGCAGACTTGTAGAGAAAGACACTAAGATTAAAGAGATAGCCAGTGGAACTTAGGGGGTAAATGATACAAAGACCCAATAAAAATACTAACACTGGTGATTTATGGAACTAAGCAAGATAATTCTAAAGCTCATATGAAAAACAAACAAATAAGAATAGCCAGAAAAACTCTGGGGACAAAAAGATAAATAGGACTAGTCCTACCAGCTGTTTTATTATATTATAAAACATCAATAATTAAAACTCTGGTACTGGCACAGATAGATTAAGAAAGAGAACAGAAAGTCCAGAAACAGACCTTAATATCTATGGGTCTTTAGTAAATAATGAAGATGGCATTTCAAGCAATGGGAAAAAGAAGAACTAGTCAACAAATGGTGTTAGCTATCTGGAAGAAAATAAAGTTGGATCCATTCTCATATTATATACACAAGGATAAATTCTAAAAAGATCAAAGATTCTAATGTGGGATATGAGACTATAAAAGCACTAGGAGAAAACAGGACAGAAATCCTTTATAACCTCAAGGAGGGGAAAGCCTTTCTTACTCTGAATCAAAATCCAGAAGCCATAAGAGTACACACAGGCACATGTCCAAAATCTGCATGGCAAGTACACCTCACGGACAAGGTCAAAGACAGATGACAAACTGCAGGAAAAATAGCACTCACATGACTAAGGGTCACTTTGCTAATATAGGGAGTGCCTAGAAATAGATAAGGAAAAGACCCATAGTCCAACAGGAAAACGGACAATAGCTAATACGGACAGTCCACAGAAAAGAAAATACAGATGGCTTTTCAACACAGGAAAAGCTGCTCAACCTCACTCACAATAAGAGAAGGCCAAATAAAACTACACCAAGATAGATACCCGCTATCCCTCGGCAAAAACCCAAAGTCTAATGACACTCTTTTGGGGACTGTGGGAGGTACAGGCTTTCTTGCAGTGTGCTTGTTGGGGTATAAATCTGTATTACTCCTTTGGAAAGCAATTTGACAATATACTTAAACAAATTCAAAAGGACGTTTGCACATAGTCATTCCTGTAGCATTGTTTGTAATGGCAAAGGACTGGGAAGAACCTGCCCTGGCTGGAGTGACTCAGCTGCTTGGAGCAGCAAAAGGTGGCAGGTTCAATCCCTGGTCAAGGCTGATCAATGTTTCTCTCCTCTCCCTCTCTCCTTCTTTCCCTCTTTACCTCCCTCTCTCCCTCTCTTCCTTCCTCTTTCTAAAAAAAAGACTGGGAAGAACCTAAGTGTCCATCATGAGGGGACTCGGTCAGTAAAGTGTGATGTATCCATATAGTGCAATACTTTAGAGAAAAACAAAACTGAAGAAGCTTTCTATGTACAGATATGGAATATCTTAAAATATAGTAAGTTAACAAGTTAAGAACAGTATATATAAAATGCTACCTTTGGTATAAAAAAATGAGAAAATATATATATATACACACACACACAAGAATCTCTAGAATAATATATAATATATAATAATATATAAAAATGAATAACAGAGGTAATCAATGATAGGGTAGAGGTGGGGACCAGGGCAGATGGGAAGGTCTTAGTGGCAGGGTAGGCAAACTGCTTGGGGACCAAACTGACTATTTTTGTAAATAAAGTGTTATTGGAACAGAACTATGCTCACCCTCTCTTTTTCCTAATGTCTATAGAAACTTCGGCAATTATACTATGAAACAACAAAACAGACTTGAAGAGGCTTTAAGTATGCAAGGAAGGGCTCCTTGGGAAGGAGCAGGGAAAAGGGGTGGGCGCGGGCTTTGGGGTCAGACAGACTCCTGTTGGAATCCTGGTTGTATCACTCACAAGCCATGAGACCCCATGGATCACTCTGGCGGGAGCTTTGATTTCCTGTGCCAGGGGGGTAGGAATACCCAGCTGCTAAAAGGGTCATAAAAGTGAGAGAGACGAATGAACATGTAAAGAACACCTAGCATGGGCCTGGTACATAGCAGGTGCTCAATAAATGGTAGTTGTTCTTTTTCCCTTTTGGCCACTACAGGTCCATCTGATAATCTAACCACCATGTATAACATCGTTGTTACGGGAAAATGCATTTCAAGTTCTTAACAGTGGGAACACAGCCCAGTGAACTCGAAGGACTGCTTAGGAGAGGCTTGGAGTCTCATGCTTCTCTATTTGTTGGTTTGGCCCAATAGTAAAAGAAACGGAGGCACAGGGAAGGGGAATAGGCTCAAAGGATTGAGGTGCCCACCCTGAAAGCAGGAGACAAACCAGGTCAGCATTTTACTAGTACACTAGACATGGACTTGGCAGAAGGGTGCCTGTTTCTGCTACTAGAATAGCCTCTTCTCAGCTTGGCTTGAGCTCAGCAGGGAAGGAAAAGCTGTGATACTCCACCTCCACTGGAGCTCAGTAAAGCAAGTTCCTCTTCCCATCAATACAGGCGCTACTGCCAGAGTGAGCGCCCACAGCACAGGCTGCCTGGGGAGAGCAAGAGCTCGGCCCTACACACCGTGCTCTGGGCTTTAAGGAGCTTATTTCAACTCTGGATCCTCTGTCCTGAGGGGCCTCAGTGCAACTCCAGGGTCTGCAGATGAAGCAAAACTGCACCAAGCAGACTTGAAGCCTCTTCAAGTCTGTCTCCTGCTCCTGTGCCCAAGGCCACTCAAGCCCCTACACCAGATTCTCCCAGGCCTCTCCTTCCTGGACTGTGCTCTCTGCTCCTGACTTTCTGAAACCCTTTTTTGCCTTTAAACACCACCTGTCCAGTGTCTCTCCTGTTCCAATCCAGCTCTTAGCTAATACAAAATGATCTGGAGTCAGGACCTGGGTTTTAGTCTTGCCATTAACTTTGGACAAATCATTTCCTTTTTTTTTTTTAAATATGTTTTAATTGATTTTTTAGAGAGAGAGAGAGAAACATTGATGTGAGAGAGCTGATTTAGATCCTCAAACTTTTCCACGAAGCACCCTGCAGACAGTGGAGAATGAGCACACAGGAGTCTGAGGACTGAGTCCCAAGAGACTCAATGCCAGCTCCAGAGTTCTTTGCAATCTTATTCCTTTATTTTTAAAGAATTTATGTGAATTTTGCATTCTACTCCATGAAACATCTGTGCAATAATTTAAATGCAGCCCTGGCCAGTTTGGCTCAGCAGTTAGAACAACCAACTGCAGAACAAAGAGTCGCGGGTTTGATTCTAGTCAAGGGCATGTACCTCGGTTGAGGTTTGGTCCCCAGCCCTGGTCAGGGTAGTGCGGAAGGCAACCAGTTGATGTATTTCTCTCACACTGATGTTTCTCTCTCTCTCTCTCCCTTCCTCCCTCCCTCCACCCTATCTGAAAATCAATGGAAAAATACTCTCGGGTGAGGATTAAACAAAAAAATTAAATACAATAGATTCCCCTTGCCCTGGCCAGTTTGGCTCAGCAGTTAGAGCTTTGGCCTGCAGTCTGGAGAGACCAGGGTTTGGTTCCCGCTAAGGGCATGTACCTCGGTTGCAGTTTGTCCCCGGCCCTGGTTGGGTTGGGTGGGTGGTGACCACTCAATGTGTCCCTTTCACATCAATGTTTCTCTCTCTCTCTCTCCCTCCCACTCTATCTGAACAAAATATAAAAAAAAAAAAAAAAAAAATCCCCCTTAAATCTTCACATAAACTTGATTCTCCCAGAAGTTAAGTAATCTTGTTTATCCTGAGACCTTATGTGATATGACCACATACACTGGGTGCATATCCCAGTGTATGAGCCATGGGGCAAGGAGTGCTTTAAGGGTGCGTCCAGGGCAGACGTGGGGCATAGTAATCCTTTCTAATGTGTCCCAGGCATCTCTCTCTCTCTCCCCCTCCCTCTCTGTATGTGTGTGTGTGTATGTGTGTGTGTGTATATATATATATATATATATATATGGTTGTTGTTAATTCTCACTGAGGATATTTTTCCCATTGATTTTTAGAGAGAGTGAAAGGGGGCAGGAGAGAGAGACATTGATGTGAGAGACACATTGATTGGTTGCCTCTCACACCTGCCCTGACCAGGGCCAGGGATCAAATCTCTAACCCAGATACATGCCCTTGACAGGGAATCAAACCCTCAATGGACCCTTTGGTGCGTGGACTGACGCTCTAACCACTGAGCAACACTGATGAGGGCGGTAACTATATTTTAACAGAGAGTTCTAGAACTAGTGTCTTAACTCAAAGGAGTGATTCTAATAGTAGAATTTTAGACATGGCAGCAGGCTGATAGGGAAGAGAGGAACTGAAAATTCCATGCAATGATCCTCAGTCTATATAGGCAACCTTCCAGTTATCCTAAGGTCAAAATAAGATCCAGTAAATAATCCCCATCACCAGGCAACCAGCCTTCCTCATGAAACATCTTTTCCTCTTGAGTTATTTCCAAACTCCTTGGAATATACCAGAGCAGGCCCAGCTGCCCTTTAAAATCAAGGAACATAGTCCCATGAGGCTCAGCATCAGACCCACAGACCCAGGGACTAGGAGACAGTCAGACAGAGAGATACACTTACCATAGAACCCAGGAGAAGCTCGCTGCAGGCTGGGACACTGAGTTCTGGCCCAGGGAGAAGCTCTGTGCCTATCACAAAGCCCTTGGGTACCTTGAAAGGGACGCCATCGAGGGCATTCATTCTGCCAGAGGGTGGAGATGGCTGAGCAGGCTGAGGCAGGCTGCCTGTGGCAAGGAGAGAACAGTCCTGAGGACCAGGCTAAGGCCTCAGATGCCTCAGTGCTCTCCTGTGTGGTGACTTAGCTGAGTCCCACCCAGCCAAGAAGAAAAAGGTAAAGTAGCTAGTGCTGCATAAGGGAGAAAACGAATAAAAACAAGAGCATTCAAACTGACAGGACCTGACTATTTCAGGATTAAGTCTTACCCTAGGGCATTGTTTCCCAAAAGGTGGTCTACAACTCTAGTTCTAAATTATTGCATCAAATGAGTTTTTACCCTCCCTCCCAAAAAGTGTACAGTTTTGGTAAACCTAATAAACATCAAGAGCAGTGGATTAAAATGACCAAAAAAGTGTTTTCACCCAAATGTTTAAGGAAGAAATATCAAATTACAGAAACTCTTCCAAAAAAGGAATACTTCCTAACTAGTTTGGCCTCACCTTGATGCCAAACTTGACAAGAAAATTAGAGGCTGATCTCTCAAGAACATAAATGAAAAAGCTTAACAAAAATAATTAAGAATAAAAAAATACTGCCTTACTGAGCTTATTTCAGGAATGAGAGGTCGACTTAACATTCCAAAATCAATCAATGGGAATGATGATAAACATCAAGCCCTGGCCAGTTTTTCTCAGTGGTTAGAGCATTGGCCCATGGACCAGAGAGTACTGGGTTTGGTTCCTGCTAAGGGCACGTACCTTGACTACAGTTTGTCCTCAGTCTTGGTTGGGGTCGTGTGGGTGGCAACCACTCGATGTGTCTCTCTCACATCGATGTTTCTCTCTCTCTTCCTCCCTTTCTCCCTCCAGCTCTATCTGAAGATAAATGCAAAAATGTCCTTGGGTGAGGATAAAAAAAAAAGATAAACATCAATAGAATATTAAAAATTATATAATTATCTCTCTCCATAGATACAGAAAAAATGCTTGATAAAATTCATACTGTTTCATGATTTTAAGAAACAGCAAACCCTTTTAACAACTTAGGAATAGAAAGAATTTCCTTAACCTAATAAAGAATAGCTCCAAAATATCTAATGCAAACATCTCACTTATTGGTAAAATATGGAAAGCTATCCCCAAGACAGGAAATGATGAGATAAAGATGTTCCCATCACCTCTTTTATTCAACACTGCACTGCAGGTACTAGCCTGGCAAAAAGAGGAGGGGAAAAAAAAGTATGAGGATTGGAAAGAAATAAAACCATCATTATTTATAGATGACATAATTATATATAGAAAATCCAAAAGAATTTATGAAAATTATTAGATTCATAGTCAATATACAATAATTAATTATATCTTTATAAACAAACAACAAACCACACAAATGTTATCTTTTAAACATTTTATTAGAAATTGCAATTTTTAAAAGATACCCAGCCGGTGTGGCTCAGTGGTTGAGTGTCGACCCATGCACCAAGAGGTAGCTGGTTCAATTCCCGGTCAGGGCATATGCCCAGGTTGTGTGCCCAATTTCCAGTGCGGGGCATGCAGGAGACAGCCATTCGATGTTCTCTCTCATCAATGTTTCTATCTCTCTCTCCCTCTCCCTAAAAAAAAAAATCAATAAAGAAAAAAAGAAAAGAAAGATACCATTGATATTCACATTGAATACCTAGACTCTATATAAACAAGATGTAAAAGACCTCTACACAGAAAACTATAAAATATTAGAATTGGAGAAACATACCATGACTAGGATTGTAAGACTCGATCTTGTAAAGATATCAATTCTTCCTGAATTGATTTATAGATTCCACATATCAATATTTCATCACATTTTTTGGTTCAAATTGGCAAACTAATTTTAAAATTTAAATGAAATGTAAAGGGCCAAAGAAAGTCAAGACAATCTTGAAGAAGCAACATAGTTGGAAGATTTATACTTTTCTATATCAAGACTTTAAAGTTACAGGAATTAAGACTGTGTGGTACTGACATGAGGACTTATGAAGGGATCAATGAACATAAAAGAAAGTCTGGAGACAGATCCACACATACATAGATAGATCCTTGATTAATGACCCTGCAGAGCAGTAGGAAAATGAAGGTCTTTTCAATAAATGGTTCTGGATCAATTGGATATTCACCTAGAAAATAAAAATCTTGACCTTACCTCACATCATACACAAAAATCAATTCTAGGTAGACTGTAGATCTAAATGTAAAATGTAGAAAGGTAAAGCTTGAATATAAAATTGGAGAATATATTCATGGCCTTAGAATAGGCAAACATTTTTTAAAAGATTATTAAAAAGACTAACCATAAAGGGAAATACTGATACATTGGGTTACATTAAATAAAGTTAAGAACGTCCATTCATCAGAAGATACCATTAAAATAGTTTTGTTTTTTTAAATCACAGAGTAGGAGAGGATATTTGCAGCACATGTATCTGACAAAGGACTCATACTCAATATATACCAAGAACGTCTATAAATCAATAAGAAAAAGACCCCATATAAAAATAGGCAGGCCCTGGCCGGTTTGGCTCAGCGGTTAGAGCATCGACCTGCGGTCCTGGGAGACCCGGGTTCGGTTCCCGCTAAGGGCGCGTACTTCGGTTGCAGTTTGTCCCCGGCCCTGGTCGGTCGTGCGGTGGCAGCCACTCGATGTGTCCCTTTCACGTCGATGTTTCTCTCTCTCTCTCTATTCCTCTCTCTCCCTCCCACTCTATCTGTACAAAGAATGGAAAAATGTCCTCGAGTGAGGATAAAAAAAAAAAAAAAAAAAAAAAAAAAAATAGGCAGGAAAATTTAATAGGTACTTCACAAAAGAGGCTATCCAAATAGCTAATAAACATATAAATTGTTTAATCTCTTTAGCCATCAGGGAAATGCAAAATAAAACAATAAAATATCACTACATACACAAACAGTTAAAATTTTAAAAGCCTGGCAACATCAAGTGATGAGGATGTGGAAACATCTAGAACTCTTGTACTCTGTTGGTGAGAAAGCCAATTAGTATTAGTCAGCAGTATTTACTAATGTTGAAATCTAAGAATTAAAAACTCATTCACACATACATAGCTTCTGGGGCTTTTGGCTAAAATAAAGTGTAGTATCTATTAGTTTAATAATCACAATAGCCAGGGATTTGATTTTCTTATGCATTTCAAACAGCAATTAAAAATTCTGTTGCCTTAAAAAACAAAACAACACTCATTCATAAGAATTCAAACTATGAAAGCCTATAATAGATCCTTTAATCTAGACTCCTGACCGCAGTCTGGCATTTTGCAAACAATCAGGATTTACTAGGGAGTACATCTGGCTTAATACAATCTGTCATCCCTACCAGAATGGTGCAAGGCCCTACTGCTAGGGGTCCCTGGGGTCATTCCCAAGCCCACATGAGAGCATCATGTGAAGATGTAGAGTAGATAATCTGAGTGTAGAGAGGTCAAATGAAGCCAGATGGGCAAATCCCTTAATTCCCTCATCTTCACTATAAGCTCACTCTTGTCAGTGTCTTACTGTCTGTGACAGTCAGAAGACTGTCTCCTAGCACACTGGAGTAGCTCTCCATGATACAGGATCAGACAGTTCCCACTGTGATCAGTAAGTTATTTGCCCCATCACCCTGTTCTTACAGGAACTTTGAGGTACAAGGGATTATAGGGAACACAGGAAAGTTAGTCAATTTTGGCTTTCTCAGATTTACCATTCACATTTGCAGCTATCATTAGAATTTTGAGCTATGGAGGAAAATCACAGTTTTATTGAGACCCAAGTGTGAACTGCCTGTCCCCTGAGCAGGTACAAAGCCACCCACATCCTCCCTTACTTCTGACCCAGTATCTGTATCCTAAATAGATACTCAGTTCTACACTTGCTTCTGGAGTAATTTAAGAGTTTGAGGATTCTGGAAATACAACTCTTAAGAATAGCAAGGGCGCCCTGGCTGGTTTTGCTCAGTGGTTAGAGTGTCGGCCTGCGGCCCAGAGAGACCCTGGTTCGTTTCCCGCTAAGGGCACGTACCTCGGTTGCAGTTTGTCCCCGGCCCTGGTTGGTTGTGAGGGTGGCAGCCACTCGATGTGTCCCTTTCACATCGATGTTTCTCTTTCTCTCTCTTCCTCTCTCTCCCTCCCACTCTATCTGAACAAAAAATGGAAAAATGTCCTCGGGTGAGGATAAAAAGAAAAGAAAGAATAGCAAAGGCTACAGTGATCTAGTTAGAACATACTCTAAAATGACGGTCACCGCCCTGGCCGGTTTGGCTCAGCAGTTTGAACATTGGCCTGTGGTCTGGAGAGACCGGTTCCAGCTAAGGGCGTGTACCTCGGTTGCGATTTGTCCCCGGCCCTGATTGGATCATGTGGGTGGCAACCACTCAATGTGTCCCTTTCACGTCGATGTTTCTCTCTCTCTCTCTCTTCCTCCCTCCCTCCCTCCCTCCCACTCTATTTGAACAAAATATCGAGAAAAAAAAATGTCCTTGGGTGAGGATAAAAAAAAAAAGAAATTAAAATGACGGTCACCTCCCACTAAATATAAAATAAGATGGGGTTGAGAGCATAACTTCATGGCGGGAACAACTTGAGCCAGGGAGCAGAGGCAGGGCAGAGTGAGGGGCAGACAAGCTGCTCGACTCAAGTAGATAGTGTGCTGGGAAGCAGTCTGCAGTAAGATTGAAAGGATAGACTTGGGTAGAGCTAGGAGGGTCCTGAACTTTAAGCTGAGTGCTGAATCCATTCAGTAGGCAGTGGAGAAAGCTGTGAAGGTGCTTGAAGAGGTGGGGTGAGGGTCAGGGAGTGGGGATATTAGGAACACCAGTCTGTGATGCTTCAGCAAACAGCATAATACAGGATTTCTCCAATGGTCTGTGCCCATTTGACTGTGCGTGAGCCTGGGGATAAGGAGCAGGGTGGGTGGTGGTTATAGTAATCAGTCTACAAGGAGTCCAGGCAATGACAGTATTATCTTTAAAGGTCTCCATTATACTCTAAAAATGACTTCATCCTTGCCCATAGCTTCAATAGTACATATGCCAATGATTCACACATGAAATTTTCCAGTTCTCTTTTGACATCAAACTCATAAGCACAACTGCCTACAAAGCATGTCCTCCAAGATATCTCAAGGGTGCCTCAAACTCAACATATCCAAAGTGAACTCATTTTCTCACCCCCAAACTGTTCCTCACCCTCCAGAATTCCTTGTTTCAAGGAAAGTCCAAGGTGCACAAGCTTGGGTCTCATCCCGACACTTCCCTCTCCTTCACCGCCACCCATCTCAAGTCCTTGCCAAGTTTTTTCTCTAAAACCTCTGAAATCCAGCCCTTTCATGCTACCCCGATTGCTGTCACAGGAACTTAGCCCCTATTATCTTTCACTTGGACAACTGGTGTCCATGTATCCTTTTATGCCCTGTTATTGTAATTCTGTTCCACACAAGGACAAAAGTGATCATTTCAAAGCAGCAAACTAAGCCATTCCTCTGCTTAAAAGCTTCCAGTGGGAAGCTTCCAGTTCCCAGCTGCTCTCAGAATAAAAATCAAACTCCTGACAAGGGCTTCCAAAGTCATGCAGGGACTGGCCCCTGCCCCCCTCTGACCTTCCATCTTACTCTAGTCATGTGGACCTTCAATCACTTTGGTCTCTTGGTCCAACACAGGGCCCTTGCATCTACTATTCCAGACGCTTGCTATGTTCTTCCTTGTCTCTTCCCCACTAGTTAACAGCTGTTCATTCTTCAAAGCTCAATTGAAACATCATTTCTTCAAAAAGGCTTTCCCTGCCCTGGCCAGTGTGGCTCATTTGGTTGGGTGTCATCCTGTGCATTGAAAAGTTGCCGGTTCAATTTCCCATCAGGGCACATGCCCAGGTTGTGGGCTCAATCCCCCGAAGGAGGATCCAGGAGGCAGCTGATAAATGTTTCCCTCACATTGATGTTTCTCTCTTTCCCTTCCTCTTTAAAAAACAATAATAATAAAAAACATTTTTAAAAAAGCTTTCCTTGACCCCCAAACTTAGATAGGTTCATCTAGTACAGTGGCTTTCAAGTCTTTTTTTTTTTTTACTATGACCCACAGGATGAAATATATTTGATTTTGTGACACAGAATCTACATATATAAAATGAATGACAATTCTTACCCTTACTATATATTTTCTATTTCACCTAAATGCATTACAAAACATTCAGTTTGAAAAAAAAATGGCCTAATTAATCTTATAGAACCATATCTGTCCTTCAAAGTACTCAGCACATTTTAAAATGATTAATGGATTACGCATACCTCCCTCAAAATCTGTGTTAGGGTGTATTTGGTATTTTGCTCATTGTGATAGCCCTTGTATTTTAGTGAGTTATCTGAATCTCAACAGTCACTTAGTAAATATTTGAATAATGAAAAATATAAATTGGTGACTAAGCACTTTTTCTTTTAGCACTTATCAGAACTATAATGAACTCTAATTATCTGTATAATCATTAGGCTTCTCGTACACAGCTCAAATCCAGGCATCTAGATTCCGTCAGCATGAGTTAATAAAGCTGAAGTGTCTCCTGCTCTGCATAGTTCTGTACTTTAGCACCAAATGCCTCAAATACATCAATCTTTGCTTCAGAGACGGTAAGAAACAGGAAAAGGAAAAATGGAACCCGTATTGGAAGCAAATTACTCATGGACAGATAGATGTAGCAGGTCAGGAACTACCTAAAAGTAAATAGTTAATTATACAGAAATAGCTTATTAGCTACAAGCATTTTAAAAAAAGATTAAGTTGGAAATGCCTCATGTAATCTCTAGTCTTTAATATATATCACTGCTAATACTTCAAAGCATTCACATTCTTACTATATATTATATACTTGTTTGAATGGAACAAGACATGCTTTTTGTACTTACCTTGTAATTCTCAGGACAGATTCCCTGTGGACAAAACTTGTAGACGTGAGTGTATTGCTACAACAGATGGTATAATCCCAGCTAAGCTTCTTGATATAGCCTTGCACAAAAGTCACATGGACATAGAAACATGAATGGTTTTAGAGTAATTAAGTTGGTTGGCTTATAGCAAAGTCTCTGACGTCATAAACTCAGCCACTTGGGATGAACTTAGTATTTAACGTATAATTAATCTCTTTATTTCATTTTCTATTCTTCTCTGTATTTACTTAACTTCTTAAAAATAAAGTGATTTTTTTTTATATTTTGTTCAGATAGAGTGGGAAGGAGAGAGAGAAACATTGACGTGAAAGGGATACATCGAGTGGTTGCCACCTGCACAACCCAACCAGGGCCGGGGACAAACTGCAACCGAGGTACGTGCCCTTAGTGGGAACTGAACCCAGGTCTCTCTGGACCACAGGCCGACGCCCTAACTGCTGAGCCAAACCAGCCAGGGCACAAAAAATAAAGTTTTTTGCCCTGGCCAGTTTGCCTCAGGTTTTGTGCCCTGGCCGGTTTGGCTCAGCAGTTAGGGCGTCGGCCTGTGGGTTCAATTCCCAGTCAAGGGCATGTACTTGGGTTGTGGGTTCGACCCCTGCCCCAGTCTGGGTGGTACGGGAGGCAACCAATTGATGTGTCTCTTTCACATCAGTGTTTCTCTCTCTCTCCCTCCCTCCCTTTCACTCTACCTGAAAAAAATCAATGGAAAATATCCTCAGGTGAGGATATATAAATAAATAAGAGATTTTGTTAAAGCTTCTCAAAAGTCCAGGGACTCCTCTACTGGGAAATAAGATAATATTCTTGCATATAGGGCATGATGAATCAACACATTTCTGGTTAGTCTTTGAATGAGTTTCCCTATTTTCATTAATTTATGCTCATTATATAGAGCCTTTATGTACAGGTGTAAAAAAGACATGATTTAGAAAAGGGCTAGAGACTCAACAGAACTGTAGTTCTTAGTTCTAACGGAAAAAAACAAGAACAGACTAGCAATGACCAGTAATAACAATGAGTACTCCTATCACGCAGATTGTGGCCTATAAATACCTGTCCACTGAAGAGGGACCTAGAGTCATTGGGGAAATGACTGCTTCCAGGCCTGGGATAGGAAATGTGAAAAATAACTTTGGAGCAGAATATCGGGATCGAATGGGAACTAAGGAGCTGAGTTCAAGAGGCTCCCACTGGCTAAAGGCGACACAATCAATAGAGAAAACAATAAAATGGGCTGAAAGACGAATGTTTAGATCTGAGTTCATAATGATACTTAAACACAAAATTCACTAATCATCTTTGGATGAGGCTAGGAACCATTATTTTGAAAACTAGTAAACCAAGGAAATTACATATTTATCTCTTGCCTTTCCTATGCAAATTGTACCTCAGGGTAATGAAATAGTTGATGAGGGGATTTATTCGCTGGAATACTTCTCTTTTCAGAAGTATTCCAGCTAATAAAGAATAATAGAATTAAACTATCACTGTTTTGCAAACCCAAATGAATGAATCTAGGTCTTGATTACCCACAGCTGCTAAGATCACAAAGCGACAATCAGACATTAGTCCTCTTGCAGTACACACCAGGTCTGTGAAATAATCTTACCAGAAAATTCCAATCTAAATGTGATCGAGTCTCTATATCAGCACTGTCCATTAGAAATGTAAGCTACATATGCAATTGTACATCTCAATTCAAACTTAATTTTATTATTTATTTATTTATTTATTTATTTGTTCTCCTGCACTTTGGTGTTTTATTATCACTTCCAAATCTCAGTCATACAGGTTAATAAGGGCATACATTTTTTTTTTTTTTTTAAGTATAAATAAAACAGCCTGGCTGATGTAGCCAATGGGCCCCACTACTCTGTCCCCAGAGGAGTCCCTGGGCCAGAGCCTCTTGGAATTGTCTGGCCTGTGTGCCTTGGTGACCTTCTCTGCCAGCAGCCCCTGGGCAGCAGAGTAGTGTAGGAGCTGGCACTGTAGGGAGCAGCCATCCGCAGTTCCTGGCTCTTCCCTGTCCAGCTGGTTCTGCAGCCACCCTAGCAGACAGTCTTGTCCCCAGAGGTCTGTTGCCACAGGTGGACATCATTCCCACCCCGTGCAACTGCCCTGCGATGATACATCCTGGGACCAAACTTAATTTTAATTCAAGCTCTCAATTTCAAGTGAGGTCAGACAGTATAGCTCTAACCACTAAACTATAAGAAATATGGAGCAGAGGAACATGCTACTCTAAGGAAGCAATTAGCAAAATCCAGACTAGGAACTCTTCGAGAAAAAATTGAATGATTTTTAAAAATAACACATTACAAGGGACAAAGAGTGCAAGAGTGCACAGGAGTAAGCAGGAAAGACCTCCAGATTATCAAAAACTTAACAGACATATCAACCAACAATGCATAGACTGCATCTAGATCTTGATTTGAACAAAGTGTAAAATACATTTATGAGAGAAGGAAATTTGAACACGGACTGGATTTTTGATGTGTATTAAGGAGTTAATCCTTTTGTTAGGTGTAAAAGGGCACTGTGTTACTTTTTTTCTTTATTGATTTTTAATGAGAGAGGGATAGGGAGATAGAAACATTGATTGGCAGCCTCCTGCATGCCCCCACTAGGGATTGGGCCCACAACCTGACCTGGAATCAAACTGGCGACCTGTTGGTGCATAGGGTTGATGCTTAACCACTGAGCCACACCAGCTGGGCACATTTTAAAAATACCTTTTAGAGCTATATAATGAAAAACTTGTAAAGTAATACGATGTCTGGGGTTTGCTTCAAAATAATCCAGAGTGAGTGGTTAGGGTACAAATGAAACAAAATTGTCCAGGAGTTGACAATTACTTGATGCTGGATGATGAGTGTATGGAAGGGAATTATTATATTCTCTTTACTTTTAATATGTCTGAAATTTTCCACAATAATTTTTTCTTAAAGACTGTGGGATAGTCCTTGCTGATTTAGCTTAGCAGTTAGAGCACCAGCCTGTGGACCAGAGTCACAAGTTTGATTCCAGTCAAGGGTACATACCTCCGCTGAGTTTTGATCCCTGGCCTTGGTTGGGGTCATGTGGGAGGCAACCAATCGATGTTTCTCACACTGATGTTTCTCTCTTCCCCTCCCACTCTGTCTGAAAATAAATGGAAAAAACATCCTCAGGGTGAAAATTTAAAAGAAAAAAAAGAAAAAGACTGTGGGATAAGAATACAACATTGTCCACATTCTCAGAATAATAATTTGTTAAAGATACCACTATAAGTCTTTCTTTCTAAACCCAGAGTACCAGTGGTTGCTGCCACCACCACTACACAAGGCAACACACCAAGAAAAATTTACAAAACAAAAACCAGACAAAGATAACACTAGTTTATTAAAACTTTGCAGAAGCTGCCAGAGGGGAAAGAGGGGATAGTTTTTCCACCTGGCGTGAAATGCCTTCTTGAGCTGTGCTGCCTGAGTCCCTGACTCATCAATGCAGATGTCTTAGTGGCAAGGCTGTCTGAACACAAAACATACAACGTAAAAGTAAGCTTTTATTTCTACCTTCCCTGCACCTCATCAGAGAGCAAGTGGTGGAGATTTGTAACAAAAGGGCACACGGGCCTTTGGGGTAATATGAGGCTAATCACATCAGATTTTCAGGTTTATGAGCTTAGACACACACTGGAGGCATGCTGGCTTTCGCACCGTTAACTGTGTAATGCACGCTACATAAATTTAACAGTGCAAATTAAACAACAGAAAGGGACAAAGGTGTTAGGATATTGCACCCAAAGGCTTCCAACTACATAAAATCATTTCCAAAGTTGATGGTGTTTGAAATTCACTCTCCTATAGCAAATGCCTATTTAATAAACTTGAATTTTAGAGTGAAAATGTGTTTTATTGATGTGAAAGTGTGTGTAGTTATCTGGGAGGCAACAAATTGGGAGCAAAGCCTCAAACTAAAAAATAAAAATGATATTTATTTAGCTTTCTGGAAATATAAATAACAATAAATGACAAAAGGCAAAACAAAAACAAACAAATAAAAAATGACATCTTATATCAACAATCATCTCCAGGCACAAGAGCATTTATTAATGAATATAAAAAAATAAATTTTATTATTTTTATCTGCTTTTCCCCCAGCTTTAACTACATGGAAATTTTTGGAGCTTGAGTTCTTAGGAAAATTTGATAGCTATATCGGCCCCTACTGAGTGCAAATTAAGGTTAAGGTCCTACTCCCATAGGGAAATAAATTTCTATCCTGGGGGTTTCAGAACAACTAGACTCTAGGAACTTAAAAAGCAGTTCCTTTCATTAAGATCCTTCTAATATGGGGGAAATGTAGCCAGCACCATTCAAACACAATCCAGTCTGGGTACAGGTACTCTTCAGGTGTTCCAATTTCTCCCTATGACTACCCGACTAAGCCACCAGCTCTACTGCCAGCCCAGCCTGCAGCCTGCAGCCTCTCAAACTGCACCCCAAGTGGGTTTCACAAAACCAGAGATAAAGCATTTTTTACCTTTCTCGGGTAAAGAAGTTTTTACCTAACTTCTTCCTGGAAGTTAGAGGGCAGTATGGGTAGGAAGGATAAGAAGATTTTGCATCAAGCTTGCCTTCACACTCAGTACTGGGGGAAGAGCTGCTAAACTACCCAGTGCACACCTGTGTCGAGTGTATGGCATGCACTTACCAATCACCACACAAGAAAGTTGAGTATATTAACCAGTCACTCTGGACCAAGCCCCTCAAAACAGAGGCAAATTCAGTGAACCAAGGCATGTGGTAACATCACCAATTCACCTATGTCCTTTCCTCAAGAACCATATTAATCTCTTGATTCAAGAAGCACCTCTGGCCAGGACAGAGCACAGAAGGAAAATATAACTTCTGGGAAGGACTATGCCATGTGGAGTTTACAGGTTGTTGTTTAGTCTACAGCACAAGAAGATGGCAGCATCACAAATATTTAGAGCTGGAAAGAGCGTTGCCTGGTCCACACTCCTGGAGCGTCTTTACTACTGCAGCTTAATGGCGGTTGCCCAGATGTCGTTGCTGGGGAGCGGGGGAAGGACCCATCCTTGGGGAATGGAGTTGCCTTTAGGATGATCAGATGGCACCAGGAACTGATCCCAATCATGCCTTAATAAGAACATTGTAGAACAACTGTTTATTCTGTTTTAGTCCAAGCAATATGTTCAGCAACTAAATATTCTATTTCAGGACTTACCTTTTCAATGACTGATGTACTAGTCCATTAAAGAACTATATTACTAGCAATTATGCAAGACTGTAATTCTTAAGTATACATATGAAAGTGAAAAAGACTCCAAAGAATTTATAATCTTATCAATAACCAAATAATGAATATTCAGTCAATCCTCACTATTTGCAGATTCCGTATCTGTAAATCTGTATAGTTACTAAAATTTATTTGTAACCCCAAAGTCATTACTTGTGTTGCTTTTGTGGTCACTTGCCAACATGCAAAGAGCAGCGAAAAATTTGAGTCACCAACAGGCATATTTCCAACTGAGGCTGGACAAGGTTACACTCTGCCTTCTTAATTTCAGCTCTCATAGAGCAAACAAGTGTCCTTTTTGCAGTCTATTTAGTACCACTTTTTGTTACATTCTTGTGCTTTTTATTGGCAATTTTGCTATTTAAAATGACCCCCAAGCATAGTACTGAAGTGCTAGCTAGTGTGAGAAGGCTGTGATATGCCTTACAGAGAATATGTTAGATAAGCTATGTTCAGGCATAAGTTATGCTGTTAGCCATGAGTTCAATGTTAATGAATCAACAAGATTTATTAAATGAGGTTTCTTTAAAAAGAAATACACATAAAACAATGTTATATATTGATCACATGACAAAAATTTGTGGTCAGAGACCCACAGAAACCCAACCCTGTATTTCCTTTGGGAGCAGCAGGTCAGTATTCTCTAATTCAGTGTTTGTGGCTTTATAGAACACAGCTACTGTGAATAACAAGAACTGACTACTTATGTTAAAACGCTAAAACTTGTATATTAGCCAGAGATACACTTTTCCCAGAACATGAACTTGGTATGCAAAAGAGCACTGTGGGAACTTTGGAAGGAACCTCAGAGATCCCTTAGATCAGTGATTTTCAGATAAGGCTTTGAAGACCCTTGGGCCCCAAGTAGATGCTTTGGGAAGTCTAGAAACAACAAAGTGCTTCCAGTCAATTACAGATTTAAGTTGCCCATGGAACCCATTTATTCATTCATTCATTTATTCATTCTGTTTTAATTTTTTTTTTCTTTATTGATTTTATAGAGAGAGGAAGGGAGAGGGAGAGGGAGAGAGAGAGAGAGAGAGAACCATCGATGACAGAGAACATCAACTGGCAACCTCCTGCATGCCCTCCACTGGGGTCTGGGCCCACAACCTGGGCATGTGCCCCAACTAGGAATCAAACCGGCAACCTCTTGGTGCATGGGTCGATGCTCAACCAGTGAGCCACATTGGCCGGGCCACTCTGTTTTATAAACTAACTTGTCCAAAGACTTATTTGGGAAGAGTGCTACTGCCAAAGTTTGAAGAGGCCACATTCTAGTCCATCATTTTCATTTTATAGGTGAGGAAAGTGAGACCCAGAGAGTTGCAAAGTTTAGCTCATCAGTAACTGCACATAAAGATGAGACTTCTTGCCCTGCCCAGTTTGGCTCAACAGTTGGAGCATCGGCCCATAGATCACTGAGTCATGGGTTCAATTCTGGTCAAAGGCACATACCTCAGTTGGGGTTCATCCCCAGCCCTGGTTGGGGTCATTCAGAAGGCAGCCAGTCAATGTATCTCTCACATCAATGTCTCTCTCTGTCTCTCCCTCCCACCCACTCTATCTGAAGATAGGTGGAAAAGATGGGAAAATATCCTCAAGTGAGGATTGGGAAAAAAAAAAGATAACACTCCTGTTCCTAGCTCTCTTGACTTTGACCTGTAAGAACTCACAAGTCAGCATCATGGGTCTTAAACAGTTTCCAGAGGCAAATATACAGGAAGGGTCTCTTTAGCAGCAGAAAAGAACTAACAAAAGGAAGTCCATACAATAGCACAGCCTGGGAGAATACAAAAGGGCAAGTCACAACCTGCATTTGTTTCTTCACCTGTTAAAATAGGGACATCTACTTCTCAAGGATGAATGAGGACTAAACAAGATGTTTGTGGCATCTTTGAAACTTGGAAACTTTATATAAACCCATTGGAAACTTTAAAAAAATAGATACAGGTGACATGAAGAGTGCCCCTCTGACCTTATTTGGATGAGAGCTGGCAGAGAGTGCTCAGCTTGGAGGTAATACTGTCGGAAAGGCTGTAGGAGGTGAGCAAGTGGGAACTCATCTGAAAAAGAAAAGGCACAATATCGCATCATCACGCTTCATGTATTTCTCAAGGCAAGATGACTGAGCCTAGGATGACAATATGATCAAATGTGTTTCATCTTTATCCATGATTTCCAGGATGTAGTTTAGAACTTCAAATCCTGAAGGTGTCATTGTTGCCTACCACCCCTTAGCTTAGGTTGAGGTCACCCATGAGAATAAGTCAATCTAATATTGTCCTTTTCTCCACTGGTTACAGAGGAACTTACCTGAATCCCCAAATAACTTGGACTCAATTTCCCGCTTCTGTAGTAAAAATTTCTCTTTTTCTTTCCTCTGTTTCTTTTCTAGTTCTCTTTTCCTCTCTTCCTCTTGTTCTCCTTCCAACATAACTCTGAGGGCTCTCTCTTCAGCTTCATATAGTTCAGAGCGTTTTTTAATGAGTTTTCTCAGTCGCTGAAGATGGTGCTCAAAAGTCTCATCTGCTGAGGCTGGAGGACAGACCCCTGGGCAAAGAGATCCGAATGGCATTTTCATTACAACTTTTTCTCATCCCCAAATCTGTGTTCTAATGAGCCGACTCAAAGTCCTACTTATGAATTTGCTTAGAATTTGTAAATTCTAATCCATCTTCAAGGATCAGAAGACTTGAATCTCCAATTAATTTGACCCTACCCTGACTTTCTCTTTTCTCGAATTCTCTCTGGAGTATACCACTTCACCTTTGATTTTGTTTATTTCTAATGGTTTTGATCCTGCAGTTGGAGAACGGGCTCACTAAAGGAAGAAACTGTCTTATACTTCTTCATTGTCAAATTCCCACTGCTATTAAGCAATTCTCCCTCTGAGTCTGAAGTTCTGGGAGAGCACATGTGGATACTGAGAAGAAATACACTTAACCAACCACACTGACCTCACAGTCTGCTGCTGAGAGTAGGGTGACCAAATGTTTCAGTTTGCCCAGTTTTCGCATTTGAAAGCCCAGTGTCCTGGGAAACCTGGGATGGTTGGTCACCCTGATTTAACTGTGAGGTCAGCTAACAGTATAGCCAACATAGCCAGAGCCACAACTAGGTAGATTTTAGACTAGTTATTAGGTGATATACAAGAATTACTAATTTTATGTGATAATGGCATCATAATTAATGATGGGTAATTTATAAGGTATTCTACTTTTATGGACAAGTGAAATTTTCCATTAAATTTCATAAGAAAAACTTTTTGAAATTTAATGACTACTCGAGTAGATCGCAATAATGCACTCACTACCATTCTGGCCCTGCAATATAAAAGTTGCTGAAGCTGCTGACTCATCCCAGAGTGATCTAAGTGTGGTCCATCCAGTTAGTCCTTGAAATTTTTAAAGGAAAATTATTATGGCAGCAATTTAACAATACTAGACACATGGAAGAAAAAAATTCCTAATTCTGCTAACGTAATCAACCATTTTTATTTCCCCATGTTGATCCTCCAGCAGTTTTTTGTCCATATACCAGCAATTTCACATAGTTCAACATAAAATGTGTGTGATTTCCACATCTCCATGTCAGTTTTCTACATTCTTTTCCTCTCTTTATTTAATGGCTCTATCCTGTTTTACGAAATCAATGCACCTACCATTATTTACTTAATAAGCTCCCTGTTCCTGGACACTCAGGTTGTTCCACATGTCATCATATAATGCTACAATGACTACTCTTGGGCATGTTACTTTTCCCTTTGTATGGATCATTTCTATAATGTAAATTCTCAACAGTGGACATTTTATGAATACTTTCAAGACTACCTAAGTATAGTACTGTTTCTTTAAAAAGTTATACATTTACTCAGTACCTAACACTTGACACAAAGAAAGTAATTAGTATTTATTCCTTTAATGAATGATTTTCAACAGGGTTTTGGCAATTTATGCTGCCTCCAATGAAGTACACTGTTGCCAGCTTTGGGCACTGAATTTTCAATTTTGGCTACTTAACGGGTTCCTTAAGTAGCTAAGTGGTTGTGGAATTCTCTCTCCTCCAAGGCTAAGATTTCTCCAGATCATTTTCTCATGACTGCTTCGCTTGAACAGGTTTATATTCACTTATTCCCAACTGGAAATGGAAACTATACAACTCAAATCCATCTTCTATTAAGTTGCTGGGATATTATTTTCCAAACACACACACACACACACACCATTCTTATGCATAGAGAAATTTAAGCTGCCATTACGTTGCTCTGTAATAAATTCATGGTTTTAGTTTCTTTATAGCCTAGTGCTCTGTGCTCACGTGCCAGCTGCAGAGTAGTTCTGGAAAAAAGCCATTTGATTATGTGACCTGGCACAATTATACAGCTACTTCAGCTGGGCCAATAGCACCTACCTGCAACCATACTCCCATGGGTCTCTGCTTGACTCTCACTCATTCCTCACAGAAGTTATTTCACTGCTCTCTGAAAGCCCTACTTCTCTACTGACCCTCAGAGCAAACCACTTAATCTACTTCCCAGAAAGTAGATTAAGGCAGGAAAATCCCTTAACTTTATACCCCCAATTTCACTCATCTGCATTACTACCCATTCTGTCTCCTTCATTTTCATTCCAGTGGAAGATGGGTCCTTCTCCACTTAAGTCAATCCCTCCACCTGGGATCTGAATCTCACTACCTCCTGTAAGACCTTGGGCCATCAACTATCTGCTTCTCTTTGACCCTTCTCCCTCTATTCACTTCTTGGCTCAGCTTTTCAACATGTTCAAGTTTTTCCCCTGACCCTAAGATACCCCCTGTCCCATCCCTGCACACATACACACACTGCCAGAGGCTGATCTTGCACTCTCCTTTGCTTCACAGGCAAACTTCTTTTTTCTTTATTGATTTTTTTTTTTAAGAGAGAGGAAGGGAGAGAGAGAGAGAAATAGAAACATCAATGAGAGAAAACATCGATAGGCCACCTCCTGCACACCCCCCACTGGGGATTTGGCCCACAACCTGGGCATGTGCCCTGACCAGGAATCAAACCGGCAACCTGAGCCACACTAGCTGGATCACAGGCAAACTTTTAATGAGCTGATCTCACTATCTGCTTTTCTTATGTCCTATTCCCTCTTTACTCTAGTCTGGTTTCTACTCCTACCACCCCACTGAAATGCCACTTTATAGAAGGAGGTAGTAGGCCTACCTTTTCCTATCTCTCTGACCCCTCTTGACTCCTTTTGTGGCATCTTCTTTATTCATCTTGATTTTAACATTTCCCAGAATTTGTCTTTTTGGCTCTCATCTCACACTACATCACCTCCTTAAGGTCTGTTTACATGATGATGAATCATTATCCAGGATGTCCCTGAGGCACCTCAAACTCAGCAGGTCCCAAACCAAAGTTGTCAAAACAAAGCCTACTCCTCCTGTTTTCCTGGTTAATTAGAATGGTGTCATCATTCATTCAGTATATCAAGCTAGAACCTGGAAGTCATTTTTTTCCTTCAGCTCCCACATGCTAAGTCCCCCAAGTTATTTATTTATTTATTTATTTATATGTATATACATACAAACTCACACACAGACTGTTCATACCTCAAATCCATTTACTTTTCTCCAACTCACCATCTGGCCCTTAGTTCACACTGCCATATTATCACTGCCCAGATTGCAACAGCCTTATAAGTCTCTCTTCCTAGATTCTCCAAGCCTTTCTCTGCTCTACCAGCACTGATCTCTGTCATCATTTCACTCTCTGCTTGAAATCTTTCAATGGTTCCCCTAAGCTTTAAGCATATGTGAGAAGTCTATCCCGGCCCATAAGACACTTTGTGATATGGCCCTACTAACATATCCAGCCTCATTCTCTCAGCACTTACTTGGAGGTACATATGCCTTGAAGAGAGAAGTTAGAAAGGTGTTTGTTTTCTTTTAAAGTACACAATGCACCCAGTTGCTAGTTACCAAATCGTTTTACATTCAAGTCAGTTAACTCCACAGAGCCTGACTTTTTGTTTTTTAAATTTTTTGAGAGAGGAAGGAAGAGAGAGATAAAAACATCGATCAGCTGCCTCTGCACACCCCCCCCCCCTCCAATGGAGATCGAGCTTGAAACCCAGGCATGTGCCCTGACCAGGAATCGAACCAGGACCTCTCAATCCATGGGATGATGATCAATCCACTAAGCGATACCGTCCAGGAGAGCCTGTTTATTTTTACAGATAATAATTCCTCCTAAAATTTCCTCTTTCTTTTGGACCAAATAGAGAGATGCTGATAGTGAAAAGTTATGCTGGTAAATTCATTTGGCAAAGTATTACTGACCCTCATCTCACAGATGACATGGAGTAGGGAAATATTAAATAGTAGCCCTCAGGGTTTGCTTTCTTGTAAGGAAGAGACATGGGTAGACACAGTAGAAGTAAACGCTAGATCATTCACAGTAGATGATTCACAAATGCCCTATGGAACCATCTGATTCTGAGCCTGAATCTGAAGGCTAGCATGCAGAAGCTCATAGTTCAGCTAGTGAATAAGCCTGGCTGAATGCACAATGGTCATATCCCAACAAAACTTTATTAAGGGTCTGAACTGCAGTTTTCATTTATATTTTAAACCACACTGAAAAATTCATTTGCTATCGTGGTATTCATTAATATGTGTACTCTCTAATATCCCTGGTGAACGGCAATGATCTACAACCTCCTAAATAAGGCACCATGCGGCCCAAACCAGGTCATGTGAGAAGGAGCAGGAAGTCACCTCACCCAAAGCAGAGAAGGATGGAGAATGTTGCATCTAAATTTCGTTTTGATAGATAGTGAGCTTAAGATAGCAAAGATGGGACTGAGGGCCCTCCAGCCAAATAGACTAGCAAGGGCAAAGATCCCAACAGGCAAATGAAAAGCACAACTGGGGAACTCTAGAGGCAAGAGGAGACCCATGAGGTTTTCTGAGTCCAGAAATGACATGCAGATAAGGCGGTGGGGGGAGACCAAGTAGTCTGCAGGGCACTCATGTCCTATCCAATCCAACCATTCACATTTCTTCAAATATTCATGTTTCACGTTTGAAATGTATCTGAAGGAACATGCCATGTTTTCAACATCTTCTGAAGCCTCCAGTAAGGATGTCTCACTTTGACACATGGGTAAAGCTGACCAGCCACATCAACCTCACTTGGAAAAGTGTGGCCAGGAATGCCTTGGGTAGGAATAATGAGTCAAGGGGAAGATGGTGCAGTGGGTTCCCACACCTGCCTGTATTTTCAACCTTGGCTACCAAGAGCTAAATATCTTCTGAGGCTTTCTACTTCAAAAGTTCTGAGGAACTGCTGACAAGTTCAGTTGTTCTACTGGATGAAAGTAATGAAGTATCAAGCATTTTCTTTCAAAATTTTGGGGAGGGCAAACATTATGGTAAAGAAAGGGAAGAACAGGGGAACAAAGAAGAAATGCAAGTAGAAATGCAAAGCCACGGTTACCTTTCCTTGCCGCAGCCTCTTTCCTGAGTTTCCTCAATTTCTCCAAGGCCCGAAGAATGTCCACCATTCTTTTGGTGTCTGCTTGTTTTTTCCTCACTTCAGATAAGACACCATCAGCAGCAGCTTTAAGTTCCTGCTCCTGGAGGAGAGAGAGAACCTATGAGAACAGCTGCCCAGCAGTGAGATTTCAGAGAATCAGACAGTCCCAGGGTTAAGAAAGATTCTACTGAATCTACATCCCAATTTCCTGGGCAATGCATGAAACACCCCTTTGCACTGGTCCAGCCAAAGGATTATCCTCGCTGCAGCTTCCACGCAGGTGTTAGTCTTTGTTTCTTCCCCAGAGTTTCTAAAGTGTGGTCCAAAAAGCATCTGCATTCAACTTACCTTGTTAACTTGGGGCTCTCATTAAAAATGCAAACACTTGCCCTGGCCGGTTTGGCTCAGCAGTTAGAGTGTCAGTCCACAGAGACCTGGGTTCGGTTCCCGCTAAGGGCATGTACCTCGGTTGCAGTTTGTCCCCGGCCCTGGCTGGGTTGTGTGGGTGGCAGCCACTCGATGTGTCCCTTTCACGTCGATGTTTCTCTCTCTCTCTCTCTCCCCCCCCTCCCAAACAAAAAATGGAAAAATGTCCTCGGGTAAGGATAAAAAAAAAAAATGCAAACACTTGGCCCTGGCTGGGTGACTCAGTTGGTTGGAGCATTATCCCTATACACCAAAGGTTAAAGGTTCCATTCCAGGTCAGGGCACACACCTAGATTTTAGGTTCAATCCCCCAGTGGGGCATGAATGGGAGGCAACCGATCGATGTTTCTTTCTCATATCCATGTTTCTCTCTCTCCCTCTTCCTCTCTAAAACCAAAAACCAACCAAACAAAAAAATATATAATCTTGGGTGAGGATTTTTTAAAAATGCATGCCCGGATGGCATGGCTCGGTGGACTGAGCATCATTCCATGGACTGGGAGGTCCCGGTTTGATTCCCGGTCAGGAAACATGCCCAGGCTGCGGGTTTGATCCCCAGGGGAGGGTGGGGGTGTGCAGGAGGCAACTGATCGATGTTTCTATCTCTCTCTCCCTTCTTCTCTCTCTAAAAAATCAATAAAAACATATTTTAAAAAAAATTTAAGAAAAAATAATGCAGATACCTAGACACAAAGGTTTAGGCCAGCAGGGAAGATAAGGAATGGGGTTAGAAAGGCCCAGGACTCTACAATGCTCAGTGACAACCTAGAAAACTCCACTACCAAGAAATCTCTTTGACATGACAGCCTTTCAAACATCTAAAGACGCTATCCTATACCTCTTAAGTTGGTTCAGATGTAGACTAAATAATTCTGGTTCCTCCAAGTCAATACTCAAGGGACTCTGTCTCTAGCACCCTCACCATAGGTGGTAGGAAGGATGCTTTTGCCTAAAGCTCTCCTTCCCATTTCTCATATCAGCACCTGTAATTGCACCATGCTGTTTCACTCTTCTCCGTGTTTTACCCCCTCTGCCTGATGTGCACCTGTTGCTCTCACCTGCCTTTGACATTTCCTTCAAGACTCAGTTCAGCTGTCACTTTACCATCCAAGCCTTCCCTGACACCTTCTCCAAAGGATTAGATACTCCTTTTATGGGCTCCTATAGCACCTACAGTTGAAATCCTTACACACAATGTTATACAGACACGATCCCTCACGGGGCTCTAAGCCCCTCAAAAATAAGCACTATGTCCTATTTATCTCTGTCCCCAGCACTCAGCATTGGGCCTGGTACATAATAGGCCCTCAGTAAATGTTTGAACTGACTCAATCTCCCTCATTAAGACCTTGCCTCCAAGTATTCTTCTTAAAAGCAATGATAGCCTGGTCGGTGTGGCTCAGTGGTTAAGTGTCCCATGCACCAAGAGGTCACTGGTTCGATTCCTGGTCAGGGCATTTGCTCAGGTTGTGGGCCCAATCCCCAGTGGTGGTCAAATGATGTTCTCTCATCAATGTTTCCATCTCTCTCTACCTCTTCCTTCCTCTTTCTCTAAAATCAATTTAGAAAATTAAAAAAAAAAAAGCAATGATGTTCTTAGGGGCTCGAAGACAAAGCTGGCCATCAATACACTTCACAGGGGGAGTTATATCAAACTCTTGGGTAGCAGCAGATACCAGGAGGAGGAGGAAACAGAAGCTGGTAGTGGAGAGTGGAGGAAGGGTGAAGTACATAGAAGCACTCAAAAGTAATGACAATATCTTAAACAATTATCTGACCAATTTCCAGTTTCACCATGGTCCCTACTTAAGCACTTGATATCAGCAGGCTTTCAATCACACAACCTGAGCTCAAATCAGGAGTGAAACTGCCACAAACCAGGGTGATTGTTGGCAGGTTAACCTCCGTAAGCCTTAATTTCCTACTCTGTAAAATTGCGATAATACCACCCACCTCTCAGGACTGTTACAAGGATTTAATATAGCTGTTGTATTGACCTGGATGGTTTTACTCAGCAGTTGGAGCCTCTGCCCGCGGACTAAAGGGTTGCGGGTTCCATTCTGGTCAAGGGCAGGTACCTCGCTTGCCTCACTTGCAGCTCAATTCTGGGCCCTAGCTGGGGTCAAGCGAGAGGCAACCAACAGATGTCTCTCTCACATGAAACATCAATGTTTCTCTGTCTCTCTCTCTCCCTCCCACTCTATCTAAAAATCAATGGAAAAATATCCTTGGGTGAGGACTGGAGGGAAAAAAATCTGATGTATTTAAAGACCTTAGCACAGTGCCTAGCTTATAGTAAGTGTTCAAAAACATGGTGAACCTCGGGACATGTGGTTTAAAACTTGTAAGCAAAGGAGTTCTGAAGAAATCATCACTATTGATCCATCAGCCAATTACAGTATATGTATTAAGGTGTATGTTCCCTGAGGAAAGGCCCCAAGTTCTCTATATTTTGTATTCTTAAAATCACCTAGTCTTTATTAGTCTTGTATGTTGTCAGAATGTCAGAACGTTGGTGCAGATCCGTCATCCCTGCAACGCCACTGTGTAATCTTACTTTGTTTACAGGGCTTTGCAGTGCACCTAGAGCATTTGTGTTGCGTACTATACATCATTAACATGCAATCAATATGCAGATAGGAGGTCAGAAAGGCAAGCTATCTTTTTATTTTACAAATGAGGTAAATAAATGATGCTTAGCCCTGGGAAATGGCAGCGCAAAACCTCATGCCCCTTCACATTCCAAAAGCCACTACCCTTACTCCCATGCATAATCGCTGCTCTTACCCGCTTCTTCTCCTCCACCTCCTGCACACACTTGACCCTCCAGCGGTCAATCTCCTGCTCACGCTCCGCAGCTCGCGCGACCTCCGCCTCCCTCTCAGCCTCGCGTTCCCGGGCCCTCTCGCGAAGCCTCAGCCGGCGGCGCCGGACCCTCTCCAGCCTCCGCCGTGCCTCGCCCACGTAGGCGGCCTGGGTTAGCAACTGTAGTCGCTCAGCCAGTTCGGCGCGCAGGGGAGCCGCCTGGGCGTGCAGCAGTGCCCAAGCCGCGCCGTCCGCCTCGGCCTCGCGCAGGGCCTGGCCCAGGTCGCGCAGCCGCCTCACTAGGCGCAGAGCCCCGCGCAACCGCGCGCGCACTTCGCCCAGGCTGGGCCCGACAGGCGCACGCGGGGGCGCCGGGCAGCCCGCTCGCCGCGGGGTTCCGAACACCGCCTCTAGCCACTGCCGGTCGCGCAGGCGCTGCAGGGCCGCGTCCCCAAGCACGTCGGGCGGCGGCGCGTCAGGCCAGCGCGGGCTCCAGGGTGGCCCCGGGCCTGGAGGCGGCGGCCGCGGGCGCTCGCCGGCGTCGATCCCCGGGAAGGGCCGGCATTGAGGAGGCGGCGGAGGCAGCGGCGGTGGCGGCACCGGGTAGAAGGCGCCACCGCCGCCGCGGGAGGCTTCCCCAGGAGCCCGGGACTGCAGAGCCAGCGGGGGCTGGAGGAAGGGGGCGGAGGCCCCCGGAAAGGGACCGGGCCGCTGGGGAAGAGGCGGCGGGAAAGCCGGGGAGGGCAGCGGCGGTGGCGGACAGCCAAAGGGAGCGGGAGGCAGCGGCTGCGAGGGAGGCGGGCCCGGGCGACCCGGGGCGAAGAAAGGCGGCAGGGCCATGGCCACGAGCGAAGGATTCGGAGAAGTGACAGGAATCTGAGTGGCCTCCAGCGAAAGTGTCTTCCGGGAGGAAGTGACGTACACCATGCGCGACGCCAGTGTGACGCGCCCGGCCCAGAGAGTCTGGCGCATGATTTAACGTTGATTCAGTCCTTCAATTAATCTTATTATTGAGTATTCTAGGTGTGGAGCAAGCCGCTTTGCAGACGAGACTAACAGATACAGTTCCTCTCCTGTGAAACTACCTGTCTGGTAAAGAAAACACATTAATGAAGTAATTATGCAAACGAATGTAAAAGTGTCGCGGTGACTATAAGTACAGTACTTACTACCAAAGAGGAAAACACGGAGCGAGAAGCGTTTATAGGAGAATTTGACTGACAGAGGTTGGGGAAGGTTGCCCTACGGATTTTAGGCTTCATCTGAGGTCTGAAGGATAAGTAGAAGTTAAATAGAAGAGAGGGGAGCGCGGTTCAGATGGGAACAGCGTTTGCAAAAGCCCCCTAGGAGATCGTAGGTTTGGGGGAGCGGGGGGACTGAAAGAATGCCAGTGCGGATGGAGCCGAGAAAGCCTGAAGGGAGCCTGGTGATCCTAAAAGGTGGACAGATTATAGCGTCCAGGATCTCAGATCTCAAGAACAATGGGGAACCTCGGGACGGGAGGGGGAGGCGGTTAAGCAAGAGGGAAAGGAAAAGCCATGCTACATTATTGGTTTTTTAAAATTAAACTCTACTTTGAGATCATTATAGATTCATATGTAGTTGTAAGAAGTAATACGGGGAGGTCCTGTGTACTGTTTACCCAGTTTCTCCAAATGGTAATCTCTTGCAAAACTGTAGTAAAATATCACAACCAGGATGTTGACATTGATACAGTCAAGATACAGAACATTTATTTTCATCACTTCCAACATCCCTCATTTGCCCTTCTATAGACACACCCACTTCCCTTCTCTAACCACCGACTGCTAATCCCTTCTCCATTTCTGTAACTGTCCCTTCAAGAATGTTTTATAAATGGAACCATATAACATATAACCTTTCGGGACTCCCTGTTTCCATTCAGTATAATTATCTTGAGATTTATCCAGGCTGTTGTATTAATAGCATCCATTTTTATTACAATAAAAGTGTGCAAAAAAAAAAGTGTGGGTAAAGTTAAACCACACTTCATTTTCTTTTTCTTTCTTTATTTTAGAGAGGAAGGGAGAAGCAGAGATAGAAATATTGATGAGAGAGAATATCGATTGGCTGCCTCCTGCATGCCCCTTTTTGGGGATTTGGCCCACAACCTGGGCATGTGCCCTAACCAGGAATTGAACCAGCGACCACTTGGTGCATGGGTTGACCTGAGCTATACCCACCCTGTTAAACCATACTTTAATCATTCACTTGTTGAAAGATATTTCCACTTTGGGGGTATCATGAATAAAGCTGCTATAAACGTTGGATAAAGGTTTTTCTGTGAACATAAACCTTCATAATAAATGCTCAGAGTGTAATTGCTGGATCATAGGGCAGTTGTATGTTTAGTTTTTAAAGAGACTGCCAAATTGTTTTCCAGGGAGCCTATACTAGTTTACATTACCACCACCAATATGAGTGATCGTTTTTTCTGCATTCTTGCATTTTGCAATGTTACTATTTTTTTAGACATCCTGAATAAGTATGTAGTGATAGCTCATCGGTGGCTTTATTTTTATTTTTATTATTATTATTTTTATCCTCACCCGAGGATATTTTTCCATTTTTTGTACAGATAGAGTGGGAGGGAGAGAGAGGAAGGGAGAGAGAGAGAGAAACATCGACGTGAAGGGACACATCGAGTGGCTGCCACCCGCACGACCAACCAGGGCCGGGGACAAACTGCAACCGAAGTACGTGCCCTTAGCGGGAACCGAACCCGGGTCTCTCTGGACCGCAGGCCGACGCTCTAACCGCTGAGCCAAACTGGCCAGGGCTCATCGTGGCTTTAATTTGTACTTTCTTAATAACTAATATTGACTATCTTTTCATATACTTATTTGCCATCTGTATATCCTCTTTGTTGGAATGTCTGATTATGTCTTTTGCCCATTTTTCTGATTATTTGGTTTTTTACTGTTGAGATCTGTGAATTCTTTATATATATTCTAGATACTAGCCCTTTATCTAATACATGGTTTGCAAATATTTTCTGCCAGGTTATAGATTGTCTTTTCATCCTCTTAACAGGCTTTTTAATATTTTTTTATATGTTTGTTTTATATTTGCAGAGCAAAAGTTCTTAATTTTGATTAAGTCCAACTTCATTTTTCCTTTTATGGATCATGCTTTTGGAGTCAAGTGTAAGAATTCTTCACTTAGCCCTAGATCCTTAAATTCTTCTCCTGTGCTTTTCCTGGAAGTTTTATAGGTTTACATTTAAGTCTGTGATCCATTTTGAGTTAATTTTTGTATGCAGTGTGAGACTTATGTCAAGATTCTTTCTCCACCCCCCCACCCCTGCCCCACTTTGGATGTCAAATTGCTCCAGCTTCACAAGATCTTTACTTTTTAAAGCAAAAGTAATGGATGCCCTCTTGGGTAAGAGCCCAGCTCTATACCATGAAAATAACCAAGCAGAGTCTGACCCCACTTCCCAATGGACATCTCATATTTTTAGAAACTCTTTGTAATACTCTACATAATATTTACTTGTATCTTATGTATTAAGTAATAATGTAATACTCTGCATAACATTTAAAGGCACATCTTAAAATTTATTAGGTAAGGCATGGATGATTATAACTTTATATTCTCTAGATGGATACTCAGTTGTCATTACCACTTACTGAATTTTCTTTTCCTAATCTGAAATACCACCATTTCCAATATTGAATTACCATATATATTTGGGGTCTATTTCTGAACTTTACATTCTGTTCCTTTTGTCTATCTGTTCATTCATACACTGGTACACACTTAAATTTGTAAAGCTTTGTATGTAATTTTTTAAATAGAAGAGGTATAGCACCTCTTGGTTAAGTGGAGAAGCTCTGGAACCAATATGCCTAGGTTAAATCCTGACTGTTACTAGATGTGTGACCTTGGAAAGCTACTTAACCACTGGGCTTGAGTTTCATCTATAAGAAGGGTTAATACAAGCCACCTTATAGAGTTGCTGCATTACATGAACAGTGACACAGAGTAAACCCTATTTGAGTGCACATTATCATTTTGCTTGTTTTCCATGAATTGTAGAATCTACTTGTCAATTTTAATTTAAAACCTGATTGGTATTGGAACATTAAATATATAAATTAATGTAGGGATAATATACATCTTTATAACAATGAGTTTTCCCTTTGAAGAACACGGGATACCACTTTTCATCCGCTTTTCAAAAATAGGTACCTATCTACTGTTCCACTTCCATTGCTATCACTAGTCTAATACATCACCTGGCAGGCTTATAACAGCCCCACATGTCCCTGATTCAATCCTTGCTCCTCTATTGTCTATTCACTTACACCGCAACCAGAATGGTCTTTAAAAACTTAAGTGAAATTGTGTCATTTCTTTGTGCCAAACCTTCCAATAACATCTCATCTTACTTTGAATCAAAGCCTGGAAAGGAATTGGAAATAGCACCACCAACTTTTAGTTTACTATGGAGGGGATGTGAGTTCAAGTTGCTTTGTTTGTATGCTAATAAGAACTGATCTGAAAAACAGGAGAAAAGTGATGAGGTAGGAAATAAAGGGGCAAATGCTGGAGAAATGTCCATGGGTAAGCCTCTAATCATATTTTCCTTAGAACCTCCCCTTTCCAACAATCTAAAAACACATCTAATGATGTCCAACTTTTCTACTTCAAATCCCCTTTTTGAGAGGGTGGAAGAGAAAAATTGATCAGCTGCCTCTCACACCCCCCCAACAGGGTTGTCAAGCCTGCAACCTGGGCATGTGTCCTGACTGGGAATCAAACCAATGACCTTTCAGTACATGAGACAACCCTCAGCCAACCGAGCCACACTGGCCCAGGCTACTTAAAACCCTTTTAATGCCCTACTACTTTATGAATAAAGTTACAAGTTAACCTGGCAGCCCTGGTCAGTTTGGCTCAGTGGTTAGAGTGTCAGCCTGTGGACCAGAGTGTCGGGTTCGATTCCCATCAAGGGCACGAACCTGGGTTGCAGTTGAGCCCCCAGTCCACAGCCCTGGTCAAGGTCTTGCACAAGGCAACCAATCGATGTGTCTCTCTCACATCTATGTTTTTCTCTCCCCCCCTCCCTTACACTCTGAAAATCATTGAAAAAATATCCTCAGGTGAGTTTAAAAAAAAAACAAAAAACAGCCCTGGCCAGTTTGGCTCAGCGGTTAGAGCATCGGCCTGCGGTACAGAGAGACCCGGGTTCGGTTCCCGCTAAGGGCACGTACCTCGGTTGCAGTTTGTCCCCGGCCCTGGTTGGTCGTGCGGGTGGCAACCACTCGATGTGTCCCTTCACATCGATGTTTCTCTCTCTCTCTCTTCCTCTCTCTCCCTCCCGCTCTGTCTGAACAAAAAATGCAAAAATGTCTTCGGGTGAGGATTAAAAAAAAACAAAAACAAAAAACAAAAAACAAGTTAACCTGGCATACAAGCTGTTCTATTATTTGTTTTAAAATGTTGCCCTGGCCAGTTTGCCTCAGTGCTTAGTGTCGGCCCGCGGACCAGAGTCCTGGGTTTGGTTCCCGCTAAGGGCATGTACCTTGGTTGCAATTTGTCCCCAGCCCCGGTTGGGGTTGTGTGGGTGGCAGCCACTCAGTGTGTCTCTCTCATATCAATGTTTCTGTCTTCCTCCCTCTCTCCCTCTGAAGATAAAGGCAAAAAATAAAAAATGTCCTTGGGTGACGATAATAATAAATAAATAAACAAAATGTATAGAGCACCACCCTGGCCGGTCTGGCTCAGTGATTAGAGCATCAGCCCAAGGACCAATGAGTGGCGGGTTCAATTCCAGTCAAGGGCACATACCTCAGTTGCAGTTGGTTCCCAGCCCAGGTCAGGGTCCTGCAGGATGCAACTAGTCGATGTGT